AGAGGTGCCACGAGCGAACCACTCAACTCCGAATGGAGATGTGCATCACCAAGAAATTATATAGTAAGCAAACATATATTGAATTCATTTATTAAGACAAATATAATCTGATCGGAAGAGTTCTTCGGTACAATTTTCATAAGGTGGGATCAGGCCCCAGCAGGAATGCGTTTACTTGATCCACGGTCGGCCCGTCGAGAATTTGGTTCGCTTGATTGAAGACCAGATTACATAGGTACTCATTTATTTTCTCTACCAAAAGGCGAAGACATTCGTCCCATGAGTCAGGATCATAGCCCAGATAACTGGATCCATGGACAGAACCTTTCATATAGGGTAAAAATTTCGCCTGGAACACAAAAGAAATTATTTGAGTCGGTTTTCTCAGTTGTGCGGCATTGCGGCGTAATTAGTTGTATTTATTTAAAAAGCGAACAACCTAGTAGTCGCGAGACTTTTAGCTGACAGAGGACAGGATGTATTGAAAAATTATACCTATCCCATCATCACTCGCGTCAAATCGATTTCGACTTTCCATAGTTTTATTATTTGAAAAGTACTTGAGTAATAAATGTGGTACACGTCACCTTGACGTCGCCGACGTGCAGGCGCGTATGCTGGCCAACCAGCTGGTACACCCTGGTGCCCTGTCGGGGCACCTGCACCACCTGCAGCGCGCCGCGCACCACCACCTCGCTCAGCAGTACACTGCCCAACAAATTAACTTTTATCTTATTATTAACTGAATCCGTCAATACCAAAGGCGGGTCCAGGGGGGGGGCAGGGTTCCCCTGAGCTGGTTGGTTAAAGCTTGACAGTATATATTTACATATTTTGTCAAGCTCTTGACTCGACCACGACTATGTGACCACCCCTGGCTCTAAAGCTGGATCAGCCCTTGCTGGATACCAATCGAAACTCTAAATCAAAATGTTTATCTCAAAACCACTTTTTCCCATAACTACGTATATGAAATTAGGTACACTTCTTTTACAATTTAACTTCAGTTTACCTTTCCTCTAAATTTTCACAAAATAACTAAAAAGGTAGCTATATCAATAACATTATGGCTGCCATGAGAAAGGATAAAGCCATGGAATTTATCCAATCTTACTTTAGTTGATTTAGGCTCTCATACGAAGCAAAGCATACCAATCAGTATTAGATAGAAGAAAATGTCCAGAAAGTTTCCCTTATTCGTGCACTCCGTTTACTAAGCTTGTTATAACTTTAGGCAGATAATAGTAATAAATTAAATTACCTCAAGAATCCATTAGCTCTGAGTGGAAATATTTGACCCACTAAAAGTTCGATCTGAGCAGTGTCTGAAATGAATAGTGTGCTTAATAATTGGACTATCAATCAACTGGGATAATATGAACGATAAGTGGCGCCAGTCTATCCAAGCAATATATGACTAGGAGTCACAAGTCAGTACAGTCATCCAACTGTACTGACCCGTAAGCCCGGCGTTAGATGTTCTAGATAATTGTAGTGACTTACTGGTAATACTGAGTTCCGGCACGTTGACTCTGTAATCCACTCTGCCGTTGCCATAGCGTATTTCCAATAGATCACTGGTGAATGCAACTAATCCAGTAACGTTGAATTGAGATAAAGTTACCTCTAGCCTGCAAAGATACATCAACTTTTATTAATAAAAGAGTTATCTACTAAACTTACCTTAGATATCGAGTGAGTGTGTTCTATGATTTTTGTAGTTTTTATCTACGAGTATATCTATATCTATACTAATATTAAAAAAAGGATTTTTTTCACGATTTATTCACGCATAAACTACTAGAGCGATTTTAAAATTCTTTCACCATTAGAAAGGTAATTTATCTGTGAGTAACATAGGCTTTATTTTATTATTATTAATGTTGAGGAACTATTAATAAACAGTGTATTTCTGGGCCGCGGCGTTAAAAAATCACTATATTTTAACTTTTCTCGGCTTACGCTGCCTAAACCGTCAGAGATACTTACTACTTGCAGCGTTATTTTATTGGTTTTAATATTAATTCTTACCCAAACATTTAGTGTCAGAATAAATTAATGTAGAATAAAATTGTCCACAGTATTTAATCGGACTAATAGTGTAGAAGATATCGCGAACACAAGCAATAATAGTAGTAGCCGAAAAATCAGCTCATAAACTACCGGGTTTAGAAATATGGAATCTTGCTTAAAGATTTTTGTTACTGTGTAAAGGTTTAAATAAGGACGAACGTAAATTTTGTACTTTTTAAACTTCAAGAGGACGCAGCCGAGGGAAACCGCTAGTTATTAAATATTTGTCTTCGGTATAGCGGCGAGGTGCACAGTGTTGTAATGAAAAAAAAAATGTGAATGAAAAAAAAAAGGTTTACCGTAGGTTTTCATTATTTCCAACGACTAATAGCGGCATGCGTTCCCTATGATATGGATCTAACGGCGGCAAGGTGTAGAATCCAGTCTCAAAGAATCGTTTTACTTCATGGAGAAATTGTGCACCCCTCTTACTGGCTCTCCGGTCGTCATTGCTTAGGGGTTGGTAAGTATTGGATACATTGCCGATCTTATGCATACCATCGTAGGATCCATAATCCACCCAATTACTTTTTACTGTAAGATATATTATAAATACTACGTTAGAAATGTTATAATAAAGGTTTAAATGTATGCTGAAACCAAAATTAGGGATTGACTACTTGGTGTATTAACTAAATAATTTCGTTGAATTCGGAAAGTGATTGGACTTGAAGTAAGAATAAATGTCCGTATTTCTCGTAGTTAATGTGATTTTGTTACTTACACCCATTTGTACGGTAGGCGTGCACGCAAGCAACAAAGCAAAACAATAGAAGACTCTTCATGTTGGAGAAGTCCGACTGCTTGGACAATCGGAAACTGAGCTAACTGCACAAAACGCCTCTAATATATGATACGAAATTTCATGGATCTTATTGTTCAATGATTTTAAAGTCATTAGTCACACAAAATTGATTTTGTGCTCAAATAAATATTATACACAAATTGTTGTTGATATATCAAATATTTATAGCATGTATTTATGTATGGTTGGAATCAATTTCTTTCTTATGGTCTTATTATGTACATCAGTTTTTTTTGTGTTGCGCTATTTTCTTTGTATCCAGTCGACCTGTTACTTTACAATTAAATAATTATGTACAGTCGAAGAATTAAATTCGTTTCGTACTATGGATCGTAACCACAATCGTAACTGAGACCATAAGAGCTAAAACTTAGCACGTGTGTTTACTGCTATAACGTTAACGCGTTGTCGATCTGATTGCATAGTAAGCAAGTGGCACATTTTCATCGAAATTGATAGGAAATAACCCTCTCGTTATAAATTGTAAGTACAACGCTTAAGACCAATTGTAACCAGATAGCAGGATCCGATCAAGCCAAGGTTCGGCCATCTCGAGCACCCTTGAATCGGAATGCTAAACGCGTATTGAGTGACAGCCCAAGCCGATGTCCCCTCTCGGGGGCTCTTGTACCTAGTCACTCCATGGAGTGTCCACCGAAGCGATCTAAGAGCTCGGTGGGATCCCAATCCGTGCCGTGGCTCCTGAGGGAGCCCTCGAGCTTAGTTACTCATAAACGATATTTAAGCTAAGCGCCATCTGCGCTCGGGAACCTCAAGCCCGATGAATCTGTAAATGCCTCTTCAAGTCAAACTGTGGCCATTCAGTCACAATAAAAAAGCATAAGACCAAATTGAGTGGGAAGTATAGTTTATTTAATACTTAGCGAAGAATATAGATTTATGATAATGATTGCATAAATGTTTGTATCTTCGGCGATTTATATCACCACTGGTATATAAGGAACAGATTTTGAGTTTTCATCAGTAGCTGCAGTTGAACGATTAAAATAAATTACTAAAAATTGAGCCAGATATCAAAATCTATCAGCAACTACCTGTTGCACTTGGATAACAATACTTAGCATAAATTGATGTTTTCCGAAAGAAATATTAATAACACAATTTCACATTCAATTGAAACTGAACTTGTTTTTTTTGCATGCAATTTTAAAAACTCAGGCCGTTACGAACCTTGAGCGCTTACGCATGTTTCATGGCAATTGATTATTGATAATGTAGACTATTTTTAATGGTTGATTTGTTTAAGATACGACGTTTGTGATTATTATTATGGTAACGAAATTATATAATTTATTTTTAAGAATTAACTACACAGTGACTCATAAATAACGTTATTTAAATTATGCTATGTAAAGAAAAAGAAATTAATACTTAAAAGAACAAAAGGTACTAATATAACTACTGCTATATGTATAAATTTCAAAAACTATAATATAGCTTAATAACCGTCATTTAAGACCGTTGTTGACTCGGGGGTTTGAGCACTTTACTTGTAATCTACAGGTCTTGGGCTCGAATCCCGCAATGTATAATACCAATGTGATTTTCGATTTTTTCGAATTTCGTATGTACATAACTTACCCGACGTTCTTACGGTGAAGGCAAACATCGTGATGCAACCTGCACATATTGTCGAAGAAATTCAAAGTTATGTGTGAAGTCAACCAATCCGCACTGTGCCAGCATGGTTAACTATGACCTAGTCACCTCTTATTAGGATAGGCTCCGAGCCCCTCAGTGGGGACGTAGAGTGAATTGGTGATAATGATGATGAACCGTAAATTTAACAGTCGTAACCTTTATTGTGGTTACAGTTACAAAGACACAGAGGTTTCTCTGTTTTACAAGAAGCAGAGTGTTTGCAAAATTCGTGTAAAGATGTTAATAGTGGAGCGTGGAGTCTCCGTCCGCAAACGTCTTTTGAATGACTTATTGGTTAATAGTATAGTATTTCATAAATTATAACAGTTATATATATTTTAAAAATGATCAGTTCAAAATGTAGTTTATTATCATAAAAGATGGACATATGAATAAAGAGTTTATACTATAGGAATATTTCGAGACGAAAATTTTAAAACATTTACGAATCAGTCAAAGTGACATTGACAACTTGACAATAAATGTCAAATTACGTTTATATTTTGTAAATTAATGCATTAGCGCCAATAAAAAATATAGTAAATTCGATATACTATGTTTTAGCCTTTTCATAATATCATGGCAGGCAATTTTTGGCAAAGCTCACATCACCAGCAATGGATATTAGATAAGCAAGACTTAGTCCGAGATCGACAGCACGATTTAAACATTTTGACAGAAGAAGAATATCAGAAAATATTCAACTTCTTTGCAAGTATAATTCAAATTTTAGGGGAGCAACTTAAGCTCAGGCAGCAAGTTATAGCGACGGCTACAGTTTACTTCAAGAGATTTTATGCGAGAAACTCCTTGAAATGCATAGACCCACTACTTTTAGCGCCTACTTGTGTATTCCTCGCTTCGAAGGTTGAAGAGTTCGGTGTTATATCTAATTCTAGACTAATAACAACTTGCCAAACTGTTATAAAGAATAAATTTAGTTACGCATATGGACAACAGGAGTTTCCATACCGGACTAATCACATTTTGGAATGTGAGTTTTATCTTTTAGAAAATCTCGATTGCTGTCTCATTGTATTCCAGCCATACCGACCTCTGCTGTTATTTGTGCAAGACATAGGACCTGATGAACAATTGCTTACATATGCTTGGAGAATTGTTAATGATTCTTTGAGAACTGATGTCAGTTTACTATATCCACCTTATCAGGTAATTGTATACCAACTATTTTTGTTATTAATAATAAATAAATAAAAACCTCTTTATTGTCATCCAAAAAATACAGTGTTATACAAAATAAAAATGTATATATGAAAATTGGTAACAGATGGCGAAAGTGGGAGGCTCAGCTATACCAATATTGGTTGAAATCCAGTATCGAGCTGGTTTTCAGCCACCTTTCCCCCTCCCAAAGATGTAAAAGGAAGTGTAGATAGTTGGAGGTTGCTATATACTTAATAATCATAACAGATTTAACCATCTAAAAACAAAATAAACAGCAGTAAAGGGCAACTCAAATAAAACAATTAATAAAGAACTAATTGTAAATAAAATCAAATAAACCCTTTATGATAGTTAAAAACAATAGATAAAGATAACTAAATAAGAATTTGACCCTTGACCTTAATAATGTTAATTTACTTTACAGATTGCTATTGGAGCCATGCATATAGCTTGTGTAATGCTTGGAAAGGAAAACCTAAAACCGTGGTTTGCAGAACTTAATGTTGACATGGATAAGGTAATATTATGATAAAGACTTTGGAATTTATAAGACAATTCACTAAAACCAAGTAAACTACACTAAAATAATTTCAGTACAACTGATATCTATCTAACAACAAGAAATATATCATTTTTGTAAAATTGAGGTCATTGACACACATTCCTACTGGAATTTTTAGGTTCATGTTTCTAAAATTGGTTGTGTGTTTGTTTTCATTGAGAATTTACAATATTTTTCTATTTCAGATCCAAGAAATAGTGAGATCTATTATCAATTTATATGAAATGTGGAAAAGTTATGATGAAAAAAAAGAAATTCAAGGACTCCTGGGAAAGATGCCGAAACCAAAGCCTGCACCCCAAAGATAATATTTCCTCTTGCGGCAGTATTATATGATACTAAGTTTTGGACTTTAGTGATTGTGATGAAGTGATATGTGTTACAAAGACAATTACTTAATAACTAGGATGTTTCTTGTTGGGCTTGTCAGTACTGGTCAATCAGCTCTATGGTATTTTGTTTTCCCGTTTATTGGATTTATTTGGCACATTTGTAAAAAATCTAATTTGATTAGCCCAATGGGAAACAATAACTTTACTGCTAATTTGAGTAAAAAACTCACTAAGAGAGTTCTTAATGATATATTTCCTGTGAGGGAAACAGGTAACAATTATATGAAGCTGGTGTAGCGGTTATAAAAGTGTTGATGTATATTAAATAAAAAAAAATCAATAATGAATTATTACATACAAATAGATTATCTAGGGAATTGACTAAAGGCCTTGCTTATGTACATTGTGAAAAAAATGAGCAAAAGAGGCTGTTGGTATTTTGTAAATGGTATTTCTGAATCATCTTTGATTTGAGGTTACTTTTATTAGTAATGAATGTTTTAAATGTTAAAAAAATGAATTTCTGTATGAACTGACTTTTAGATTATATGTACAAATAATGAACATAAAATAATGTTAATGCATTTGCACATAGTTGATGAGTCTCCACTACTTAGACACTTGTACATAAAGATATTTTCCATCACCCAGAATTTGTGATAATACAAATAAAATGTGATGTAAATTCTTTTTATATAAAATAAAGTGGCAATTGAGCAAGCAGCCACCTGAATCCACTGAAATGGAATGTGACAGCTGCCTATAAACATCCGCAATTGCAGATGCGTTTCCTACCCTTAACTGACGGAGGAGGAGACATAGAGGACATTTCCCCTTCCTTTATAAATGCTTTAGTTCTGGTGTGTATGTCTCTGTATATGGAATTTTATTTTTCATATAAAATACAGGATGTTTTTTAATTGTTTGTCTTGTATCTTTACAAATAATTTCTTTACACCTTTGTATCAAATAAAGTGAATTTTATTGCTTGTATGTCACTTTAACTGAATGTATTGATTTATCTATGTTATTATTTTTTCTATGTTACACTTTTACTGTTAATGTAATATTTTTTCTTTGGAAAACAGAACTCAAAAATGTTTATGTATACAACTGGGACTTACAAAAAGTGGATAACATGAATTGTGATGGTTGGCAACCTAATAGGTTGATATACTGCCTAGAGCCAATAACTGCATAGAATAAAATTAAATTTGTAATTCATTATATAAGTATCAATTTCCTCCAGGACTAAAGACTGCTGTGTAGTATTTGAAATACACAATACATATAACTTGGACTTTTATTAAACCAATGTGTTATCTATCCAAGCAAGTACTTTGCCCATTCAATATAGGTAGAGGATTGAGTAGTCAATGTTAGGCAAGCTAACTGATTTATGCAAATCATCCTTACTAAAACTACTTCTAACTGCAATTTATGAATTTAAAACAGGATTTGAATCCGTCGATCGTAGGAATTGTATGCCGTCTGGGAATACTCTCCTTACAGTGGGCAGTTTCATTGAATAATGATCATTTGCCTTGGGCGAAGGGGTGGAAAGACTTTAACTCATAAATCAACGGAGTTTTGTTATTGTAGCAAAAAAATAATATATTACCAACACGTTAAAATCAAAAGCTCACGTATTTTCTCTAAACTAATTCAGTAGATTTTTTAATTTAGTTGTTCTTCACACTGGGTCTATCAAATAAAGGGTTAACAGGCATGTGTGAGATTGCAATTTAATCATTGCGCCCCTTTCTATTCAGCGTTCTGGGCGATTGCTCATCGGCATCCCCCCCTAACGCCGTCAAAAGTGAATACAGAGGATAATGCATTTTTATGAGCCAAATGTTAGTGAATCCTATTTAAAAAGAATTTACTGTTAATTTACATATTTAGGTGTAAGTTATTAATTCAAGAATGAAAAATTGATGTACCGCAATAGCCTTTAGAATGAGATCTTCCCCGACACCGACATCAAATTATAACACGGCTCAAATACCTGCTTAAACAAAAGTAGCATTTACACACGTCGCTGGGTAACGACATATTGTATAAGAAGCCCAACCAAAACAATATCTTGTTCTTCAAAACATCTTCCAGTGGTATTGCGCCATGGTGTGCATTATTTGCAATTTTGAAGACTTTCCTAATGTGGGAAAACTTCCTAAATATGGATTAATAAAATGCTTTTTGTGAAATATTTATTGTATCGTGTATAAAGCACATAAAGATGGAAAAATGGTCAATCAATAGTTAGTTAACAAGAAGTTAAAAATAAAAGGTAAGTAAGGACCCTGTCCTTCTATATCTATTAGTTGACTTTTTAGTTAACGTCAATTTTATATGTAAATAGTGTAGTTTCGTTTGTACTTCCATATTAAGTAAAAATTATAAAGTGCTATCAAAAGCATGGTCACCCTACTTAAAGTTTCGTATATAAATTAGCCACAATTTGAATCTTCACTTGTTCTGGTCTGGCATTACTACCAAAATGGCTTTAAAAATCCCAATAAACCAGTTGTTAATTTTGTCAGTAGTGTTAATTAATACAGCTTTCGGCGAGGATGCTACTAAGAGGTAAGAGAATGCGTACTTATTGCAGTATGCAATGGCTAAGTCTCAAGTCAGAATATTTAAGTGGTCATCACGGTTAAAATTTTTATGTACATTTGTCTGGGGAGACTACACCGAGGTGAAGAAATATTAAGTTAATTTTCTTGTCTGTTTTGATATTTTGTTTAATTTTATTCAGCCCGGCGAATCCTGATGAGAAAGGTAACTGCACATGCGGTGGTTTCTCTACGGCGACGATAACGGCGGAGAGCGCGCCGCTGCTGGCGCAGTCACCCGGCCTCATGGTGAAGTGCAATGAGGAGGGCGAGACCGCCTGCAAGAATCTCTGCGTCGCTTTAGCCAATGTCACCAAAGCTAAAGGCCCCGAAATTCTCTGCAAGAGACTTAAAGATGCTGACGAACTGAAGGTAATCTCTTAATTTACATGATACTAGAAACTTGTAATTGCAACCTTTCCAACGTATAGTTTGAAGCAAGCATCTTATGATTTATGTTCTTTCTTAAAATTTGGATGGTAGGAAAGGTAAACATATCTAATTATGAGTTAAATCTACTGTAAACTGCAATCTATGAGTCAGTTTCTATTAACATGTTAAAGTAAAACAATAATAATTATTATTATCGATAGCAGTGGTATTAGTAGAGCTTAATTAAAAAGACCCAAAATTTAAACGTAACGCAGCGGCAATATTACTCAAAATGTACCATTTACAACATTCTTTTCGGGCACATAACTTAAACAAATAGAAAAAGAGCGCAACTAATTTAGAAGGAAATCTACTAAGTTAAAAATTTAATGCGCCTGCCATTTTAGTTGCATTTGAAGTGTCTACCACTTTTCCACTTTTCAGTTATCGGCGTTTTTCAAAGTGTGCGACAATCCTTGGATATACGCTGACATGACCGCAGACGAGCCTCTCTGCTGCGAGAACGAGAAGATAAAGACTTGCGCGTCCGCTCCCAAAGACAACACCACTGCAGTTGTCGACGCCAAGACTGTTATGTGAAACTCAAACACCACATATCTGATATACGACCTTTACCTTGATATAGCTATTATATGTTTAGTTAAGTTAAATATACTCCACATTTAAAATCAATGATATATGATGTTAATAAAACAAAGATATCTATATTAAAATGTATTTAATTCCCTTGTTTTATAACTCCGTTTTTAAAAATAACACTTTACAATTACGCAATAGTATAAATACTGCAAAAAAGAAAGAACTTATATCATTTCCTCGCAAATTCCAGTTATTAATTTCATATGAATCTTCAAGGACAAAAATAATTACATTTTAATAATTGCAATCGACTTCACAGAGTTCAAAACTACAACTTCAGGTACTTACTTAGAGAAGAAACTACAATATTAACAGTGGCAGCGGCAGCTTCAGTGTAATATTGCTTACTTATTGCTCACACATACTTAACATGTACTTTTAATGTATTATGCATAGTTGTGTTTTAATCTAATTCTTAACTTATGAAAACTGCACCACAAAATACTATTTCTAACAACTTACACAGACTTAATTTACGTTACAAAAACTACTTTAAAAGTTCGGCAAAATCACTTGCATTTTATTAAAAAACCATTATTTAATTCGTAGTACATAAGTAAAGTTGCATTAAACTATTTTAGAGATATTTAGCTTCACCACGTGAGAACCTTGAATCTAGCTCTTGAGCCTTCTTTATAACGGACCTCTTTTGTGCCTCGTCAAAGCGGTTCACTTGCAGGTCCACGTCGCGGCTGAACGGACGACGTTCTGGCTTCTCTTCTTCTTTATCCTCTTTCTGTTAACGCATTTATAAAAAAGTTAGAATTGATCTATTTAAGATTAGGTATAATGCATATACTACTTATAGTATATGCATTATACATAAAGAAACATTTTTTTAATTGAAACTAGCTATATGCTATTCATTATGTTAACCGCATATTCGCTCGATATTTCAAAAGGGTAAAAAGTTTTCGCTTCACATTATTATAATTTTGATAAAAAATTATTTAAGAATAGTACCTTCTTCTTCTTTTTTAACTTCTTTTGGTGAATTTCAAGTAAACTTTCATCTCTTTTGTGCTTTTTCTTGTGTTTTCTGAAACAAAATGTAATACATTTTAAAATAATGTTGACATAAGGTTAAAATTTAAGGTTTCAGTTTGGTGTGTTAACCCAAATTTAGGAGGGGGAGGGGGGGGGGGCTTTTTAGGTGTTGATATTGAGCATATTTACTTTATAGCTTTCTCTTGTTCTTCATCCCTAGTAGCGATTTGTTTCTGTCGTATTTCTTGCTGCAGCGCGGTCGCCGCGTCCTCCTCCCGCACAACCCCACTTGCCTTGCGAGCCTTGTCTTCGGGAGTATCAGTCCAACTTGACCTGAAAACATGTGTGTATATCTTTAATATGAAAATTGTAACTAGGATAGTAATGTCTTATGTTTTAGATATTTGTATTGTTTACCTGTCACTCATATCTGGACCTTCTTTAGCTCTGAAGGTTCGCGCTTCTAAACCCAAGTATTTTGTTTTACCTTCTGGTAATTCTAACATCCACTGCTCTCTTGATTTAACATCGACTTTATTTAATGAATGTCCATCCAATTTCTTTATTTTCATATCCAATGCTCTCTCTTCTAGACTTTTGTGTGCACTGGTCCATTTATCTTCAGCCCCGACAGGCAATGGACCTACAATAGTAATATCTTCATCTGAACTCACAAATTCAGTTATTTCTTGACTCTTTGCTTCGAGTACCTTGCGCATGTCTTGCGGAATCGATGGACCTTAAATAGGAAGACAAACAAATGTCAATTTAACATGAATTAGATTATTTTAAGAAAAATAATTATTATTCTGATGCTTACCTAAATGGCGCGTTTTCTTTGACAAATGTGGCGGTAAGGCTGGCCCTTCTGTCCCAGGAGATGCACTTTTATCACGTCTTTTCTCCAAATGTGGAGGCAGGGCTGGTCCACAAACACCAGATTGTAATGTAGACCTTTTCAGTTTATGCCTCAAGTCAGTTGGATCAATTTTGGGACTTTGTGAATCATCACTTAGTATTTCACCCTCTTCACTGCTCTCTTTTTGACCACTCTTCTGTGTGGAAGTCACCTCTGCAGTTTCAGAGCCACTTGTCTTATTACTGGTTATGTTATCTTGAATATCCGTGGTGCTGCTCACTTCAACTGAAGCTGTGGTCTCTTGACTTTTTTCTTTATCAGACTTACTCCCTTTCTTTTTGTGCTTCTTCCTATGTTTTCGCTTTTTTGTCTTGTTGACTTGTTTTTCCAAGTTTAAAAGTTTTGCTCGTAATTTTTCATCATCGGAAGAATCTATTTCACTAGACTCCTCAGATTTCTCTTTAACAATTGCAGGTATCATATTGTAATAAGAAGCAGGCTTTTCTCCAACAGAACTGTCACTGTCACCATGAACTTCTACAATAACAGGACTTTTAGTTTTTTCGCGTGTCGGTTCTTGAGGATCCGGTTTGAATACTTCGGATCTTTTTGACTTTACTTCACTGGATGAAGATATATTGTCTAATTCGTTTACTTCAACTTTGTCTCCTTTCTTTTCTATTATATGGTTTACAATGATTTCTTTTTTACTTTTGATATGAATTGGAGATCTCCGTGTTTTAGATTCCGATCTACGCATTCTATCTCTACTTCTACTTCTGTTGTGCCTGGATCTTTCTCTGGAGTCCCTATCATGTCTTCGTCTTTCTTGTGATTCTTCTCTATGCCTACTTCTCTCATATGATCGTCTTCTCACCGGTGAATGCCTTGAATATCTATGCCTATCTCTTTCACGAGACTCGAAAACTTTCTCCCTTCTATCATCTCTTCGTCTTTCAAACTCCCTATGGTATCTTTCACTCTCTTGTCTCCTATTTCCTCCAGCTCTCGAATTTCTTGCGTGCAAGGAACCATCCCTTGATTTAGAATTATGACCCGCGTCATCTTGTGTCTTTGTTTTACATTTGAATCTTCCAGTTTCCGAGTCACTGCTCGATTCATCAGATAGCATTTTTGTACCTAAAAACAAAAAAATAGGTTTAAAATAAATAGGAAAAGAAATAACAAATTATTCTATTTACAAACTGATTTTATTTTACAGATTCTACAAGATAGGTGTATGATTTAAAACATTTTAGCTATTTTTTTAGCGCTATAACGGATTGACTTCAAAAATCCAGCAGTTGGTATGCCTTTTAAAGATTGCCTTACACTTGATTGCCATACTATATCCTTTAGGATTTGCCGTAAAATAACGGGACAGTCTATATCATAAGCTACAGCTCTAAGAACATCCTCCATATCTTGTTGAAGTCCTCCGTGATTCCAAAACTTTACAATTCTTTGTTGCGGCATCATGGGTAGCTGCATCAGATGGTGCAGCTTGGTTTCTGGATGGATATCTTGGTGACACTGCGAGTCATTTGTTGCAAAATCAACATATACATGAAACTGTTGCAATATTGGTCTATAAAGTTCACGGAAATTCAACAACTGGGGTTGAACAATATTCCTCACTTTATTTTTATTTTCACCAAATGTCATTCTGAAATCACCTGCATAGCTTAAATTGGAAATGGCGAAATAGAAATCATATTCTGAGAATGTTTCAGGTAATATAAGTAAAGCTGTGTGCACAGCAGACCTCAGATTTGATTGTAGGGCATCTTGTAGCTGGGAGCTGTTTGTTTGTTTTATAATTTCTACAGGCTTGTGCAAACGACCAGCCAAGTAGAGATCACTCCAGTCTAGTAAATCTGCAATGAGATCTTTTTGTGACACTACACCATACTTGATAGTCACATCTTCCTCCTTCATTTCTACCAAAGTGTTAAAGTAAACTTTTGCTCCCCAGTTTTCCTGAAATCTTGCTATAAAACCTTTTCCTAAGAAGCGAAGAGCTGAATAGTGGGATGGATTCAATTCAATATTAGCTCCATGCCATCTGTAGGAATTCTCAACGCAATAGATAAGATCAATCATATTGTGTTTTTTCTGGTTTCCAATTTGAGGTTTGACAGCAGATCCATAGGCGAAGCAGAACGTAAAATTTTGTGGAAACTTTGATAAGATTCTATAGTACAGTGGAGAAACATCTTTAACTATACCAACTGCCTTCGTTACTGAAGAAGTCATAATTAGAAACTAAATGAAACACTTATTTCGAGACAATAGCTGCTGACCTGCGGTAAATTTCTTCAAATCACGAGGTGCTGTTGGTTATGAATCATAACTAACATATACACTATCGGTGAAAATATTCTGTATTCGACAGAAGTAATATGTCCTTATTACATAAGTAAAGCTAACAATAACTTTATTACTACTATTTAAATATCAATAGACCAAATACATTTTTATTCAGAAGTATCTAAGCGTCAGTCAAACATGACTTATGACATGACATGTCAATATAATAGACAAGAATAGAGGTTTTCGTTGCATAGACATCGTTATTTTGTGTTTTGTTTGTATTAAAAACCCTTTTAATTAATTGTTGAAGCCATACAAATTAAGTAAAATCTCTCGCAAATGCAAGAGTATGAATCGCGCATCTGCATTACTTTAAAAAGTAGACATGACACATTATGCCACCTGTTTGTATTTATTGCCATTTAAAAAAACTTTAACTGACTTGACAGTGACAGGTTGGTGACAGATATAAATTAAATTACCATTGGTTATTGGTTTGCCGTTTACTTGTTTCGAAAACAAAAAGTTTGCTTTGTTTTTCCTCTTCTAAAACACTGATATTTACACTCACATCTTAAGTTTCAAGTGAATCCCAAAAGTAATTCTTTATTACTATGACGAGTGCGGACAGGATTGATTTTGAAATGGAGGTAGAAGTGGAGAGTGCATCATCAGGACCTCCGGTAGATGTGCCTAACCCAACTTCACCTGCTCCTCCGACGCCAGGCGGTAACAAAAGTGTAGTAGTTACAACTGCTACCGCTGGGTCAGTTACAGTTTCCTTGCATCCATTAGTTATAATGAATGTCTCTGAACATTGGACTCGTCTGCGTGCGCAAGAAGGTTCACCGCAAACCGGTACGTGGTCATTAATATTTCGTTATATCAGTTACAAATTGTTAAGAAAAAATGATTAAAATACATTACAATTATACATATGCTAAGAGAGAAGCAAATACAGATTTGATGAATTGTTGCAGTGGTTGGAGCACTGATTGGTAAACAGAAGGGTCGCAACATAGAAGTGATGAATTCGTTTGAGTTGGTGTTTAGTGCTATTGATGGTGACATTGTTATTGATAGAGAATATTACAATTTAAAGGAAGAGCAGTGTGAGTATCCAGTTTATTAATATATTATGTTCATTTTTCAACATTTACTAATAATTTGCAAGCATTTATCAAGTGCATAATACATTCTCTTCATGTTTCCTGAAATAGAGATATGTACATTTATGAAAAACACTTCTGAAATTGATTTGTAATTTTTTTACTCCAGTTAAGCAGGTATTTTCTGATATGGATTTCCTTGGCTGGTATACCACTGGTGAGGCACCCACAGAACGTGATATTGCAGTACACAGACAGATATGTGATATAAATGAATGTCCAGTGATGCTTATGCTCAATCCAGCTGGTGTGAATGGTGAAGTAAGTATTTTTGATCTTCAAGTTGTTATGTAGTGTTGGAGGAATAAAGGATAAACTGCCATGCTACGGTTTTACCTTCCTTTTGTGAAAATTTAAGTGGCATAGAACATTTTCACTTATTGTGACATATGATTATTATGTTTAAATATTTTTTGTAGCAATTACCAGTAGTGCTATATGAATCAGTGATTGATGTTGTGAATGGTCGAGCAACAATGCTGCTTGCTCCTCTCACATACACTCTGGCTGCGGAAGAGGCGGAAAGAATAGGAGTAGATCATGTGGCAAGGGTGTCTTCGGGTGAAGCAGCTCTCAACAGTTTAGGTAAGGAAACCATGATCTTAAGATCAGGTTACTTATTATTTACGTTAATATGTAGGGTTGCAATATTGTTACTGTAGAAATGGTTTTATCAACATTGATATCAATTTAGCCACAACATATACATTTTTGTATTGAAGGTAAAAGTATTTTTCTATATCTATACTAAAATTATAAAGAGGAAAGATTTGTATTTTTGGAATTTCGTATACGTTGAAATAGCTCAATATAGGTTATGTTTTGTATTGGTTCTTTAATTTTTTGCCAGCAAAATCGCTAGCAACAGCTATAATTATTGTAATGTAATTTGTAACATATGGTGTACTTAAATTAATATGTGTTTGCGTGTTTTATAAGATTTTGGTATTTGGGTGTTGATGCAGTGGCGGAGCACCTGACAGCGCAGCGGTCCGCTATCAAGATGTTAGTGTCCCGCGTGCGCGCGGTGCTGGCGACTGTGCGCGCGATACGTGACGGCTCGCTGCCGCCGCGACCCACGCTGCTGCGTGAGGCGCGTGCTCTCGCTAACCGCCTGCCCCTACTCACATCGCAACAGTTCCGCACACATTTTTATAACGTAAGTTCTTTAGTAGCCAGTATTGTTTTGATTAGGGAATTTTGCAGGACCTACTTTCCCTTTAAGGCAATAACTATCGAGTCGTAGCAGAAAAAGCTGGTCCTTCGAGCCCCATTTTGAAATAAATGTTTTAGCCGCCAATATCCTTATTGTTTAGATTTAGATCTACCCCTAGATAGCTTTTGGTAACTAATATTCAACATAATTTGTGCTTTTTTCTATTGGGTCACAATAATAATATCTAAAAATCTTTGGAATATTTCCTATACCTACACCAAAAAACAACGAAAACCTGGTGGTTTTAATAGTTTTTACAGATTTTGTTAAATAATTTTTGTTTTTTTTTTCAGCAATGCAATGATGTGGCTCTGATGACGTACCTGGGCACCATCACCAAAGGCTGCAACGGTATCAATCAGTTAGTGAACAGGTTCAACGTGCTGTACGACAGGCAGGGGATGGGTCGCCGCATGAGGGGACTCTTCTTTTAGGGCGGTCGCTAATATTGTAGGAATTAGATGAAACGGAAACTGCTACAAAGTTATACGTTTAAATGAATACTCTGTTTCCTCTAACTGTGGTCATTATATGGTACAATGTAACTGTTAATTTCCAATATGACATTTGTCGGACACTATCTTATTGCTATCTCTGTTTATTGCAATGAGAATGAGATATTTAGCAATATTTTAATACAACTACAATATCTTCCGTCATCAAAAGTATAGTTCATATTGAAAGTTTAAAGAAAAAATGATTTACTATACATAAACTTTATTATCCGAGAGTAATATCTCCTATTTCATTTTGTCCCGATTTAACGATGCTTGTATAGTCTGTAATCATTTTAATCTTTGGATGTGTGTACAGCCTTCATGCGGACGACTCTCGCCAATGACTGAATGTTGTAATTAATGTTAATAAATGCTGGTAATGCATAAATTTTGTTTTATTTTTAAATGACACTGATATAGTATTATTTACTTCGTAATTTTATACATCTTTATTCAAAGAATAACGCCTAATTTCCGAAATTATATTCTATGTATTAGAATTAGAAAGCTGGTTAACTTACTTCGTGCTAGTTTTTTAAACGCGAAAGTTTAGTTGGATAGATGGATGTATGTTAAAGTTTGTAGCTTAAACAGCTGAACGGATCTTAGTGAGATTTAGCACAGCAAGGATAGTCTGGAAGAACACATGGTCTGCTTGCTTTTGTTTTTTTTTAATTCTACATGGACAGCGTCGCGGGTGGAAACTAGTAAATATGAAATAAGAACACATGTTTTTATATGACGCAATTTATTACTCATCACTTGGTAGACGTACAGTCACAAAAATCAAAAAACCTTTGGACACATTGAGATTCGATCAGTGGAAGACTTTGTAAAACGATGTCTATAACTTAAAAGTAGAGTCTGTTCGAAAAGAAACGTAGGCCAAGGTGGCGCCACTGTGTGAAGTTATGATAGCAACACTGAAGTGCATTAAATATCGACAAATGATATTTCGAACAAACTCTTAGAATCGAACATTACACTGAGCGAAGTGACCATACGATAAAATGGATCTTTTCACGAGAAATCATAGTTCAAATTCTTTTCATAACAAATTAAAGTGTACAACGAATATTATGGATTCTGCTTTTGGCAATATTCGAAATTAAACAACCAGAGAACGCAATAATAGTTATAACCATATAAAAAACTGTATATTTTTTGTGATCTCTTTACCTATTACGATACGTTGTCACCTTTCCCTACTTTTCCCACACACTTGAAATTAAAGGTAACAAATAGTAACTAATATTGTTTTTGCGTCTTTTTTTGGATTAAGTCCAGCTCAGCGTATTTATAACAAATGCGAAAATGTTCAAAAGTTCGTTATAATATCTTAAATAAGTAAAATTTATAACATGCTTTTTTATTTGTAAATTGCCCTTAAAAGTTTTATTAGTTATATTGATTTTATAAAAAACCCTACTGTTATACTTGTACTGATAATTTTGTACAAAAATATTTTCGTTAAGTCTGTATAATCGTATTTCGAATTATAGTATTGCTTTTATGTAACTATGTTATTAACGCTATTTAAATTGCACTAGTCTTGAGTAAATAAGACACAGCTGCCAAAATCACATTCCATACAAGTAACGAGTAATGCATTAAGATATACGAAGACATCTGTGTCTCAACTTATAAATGCATACATATTCAGTACGAATAGTCAAATTTAGTTGTAATTTTATTCCACAGATCGTAGCAACGTTTTAAAGCCGTACAAAACGTTTTTTAACTCACTTTAAAACGTTTCTACAACTGTATTTTTTTGTAATTAATTCCTATAAATAAATACAATATTTATAAGATGGCGTCTTTTGGCGCCACAATCGCTGTCACGTCGAAACGTCGCAGAACTAGTAGTCATCTGGTATTTTCTCAATGCCGATCAACTCGTCGAAGAGGGAATGGTTGTCGGGGATGACGTGTGGCTCGTGCAGCACTTGACGTGCGAACTTCAGCACTGCTCGTGTTAACTGGCCGACTGTCCATTTTCTATCCACCAGCACACGAACCAGTGTGTCCAGCTATCGAACAGAATTTGTGATCAATATGGGCATAGACTCTTAATAAAATAGTAATGTCTAAACAAAATAATCTTCACATATGTGAAAGTTAAGCGTTTCGGAGAGAAAGAAAAGATTAAAACTATTACATCTTCAGAGCGAGATCCGAAATATATACTAAAATTAGTCGGATTATAGATATTTTGTGTACACATACCTTAAAGAGTTTCTCATTTCCGAAGGTATAATAGATCAATGCGGGTACGCCGGCGACGCTGGCCGCCAGCCACTGCAGCAGCAGCTTGAGCTGCGGGTGTCCGCGCTGCCGCCGCCCGCAGCCCCAGTTGCCCGTCGCCACCGGCCGGCACGACCCGCCCGACACTATCTTGTGCGCCAGCTCGTTTAGCTGAGAAACAAAAGATTATTATAGACAACGTTTTAAAATAGGCCTTGCCACAATGAGATCTTTGTCTCCTGCCTTCACTTAGGACATCTTGACTTTGATCTTAAAACAACGACTAGCTTGTAACTAATAATTCGACAAAATTAAGAACAGCATTGACGTACGGTTTTTTAACATTTAACTGTATTTTTTTAATGATAGCTGTGTAAGCAACAATCTTTATTATTTTACAATAATATGAATTTTTGTTAGTTTCTATCTAAAATGTAAAGCGACAAACAGCAAATAAAGCGCGCGTCATTCAGTAAACAAAAGCAGTAGAGTTTGCCAATAAAGTGTACGTTTGTTTCTTGTGTGTATGTGTAAGAAAAGTTGCAATCTTAGATCGGATGATAAGTTATTTAGTTACATTGACAGAAATAACAAATGTCATCGAAGATTATAAATGCGCAGATAGGTTCTTTAATAATGAGCGGCGCCATGATCTAGCTGTAGAATTTAAATCTAATTTACATTTTACGATTCCCGGGCAGGGGGGGGAGGCAATCTTCGTCCCTGGCAACGCACATGCATTGGCCTCTACTTCACCACAGTTTTCAATTTTTATATATAAACTATAACAATTACTTTAGCTTATATATGACGCGCGTTTTGATCTACAGAACGCTAATTTGGATGAGGATACAAACAAAATATAATTCACTCCAATTTTTATACAAATTTCAACCGGTTACTTCATTTATAAAAGCATCCTACGTTTAAGTTAGGGGAAGAAATCTTGCGTGTTTAGCTCCCTTACCGTTGTGAATTATCAAACCGTAGGAGGATAAGTCAATTAAAAACACACGTTACAGAAGTGTGGCATCTAGCTGAGGATTACGTTTTTGTAACAATTTGGATTGCCTTGTATTGAATTATAAATATAAGAAAATTCTTATTGACGTGACTTCAAATCCTTGTTACAAAGTATTAACCCAATAAACATCCAAACTTGATCAAGTCAGCGTTATCGAAAGTGCTTTCGTAGTTAGTAAACACGTCAAATGTCCGAGTATTAGAGACAGACAGACGCTCTAACCTTAGATTTCTTTATATTGACAGTGACCGGTTCACATTCGACCGTCTCTTCTATCGTCTCTACTATCATGTTGACAACCCAATTGAGTTTTTTCTTTTTTAAATTGGGGTTGGACAACTGCGTCGAAGATGTGTCTGTGGAAGAGTCGAGTGAGGCGGCTTCATTCGGCTCTCTATTATTGTTGGTATTGCACCTCTCTCTCGTACTCTCTAATATCTCTTCCGGTATTGACTCTTTTACTTTACGTCTCTGTCAAAACATCAATCATAAATTAATGGTAAGACGTCAGTGATGTACCATTTTAATGAACTTGCGTACTATGTTAGGGTATATTTTTGTGTGTTACAGTAATTTATAAGACAAAGATACGAAGAGTATGCTTTGTACAGAAAGTAAAATAGGGTTATCGCTAATTTTTTATCTGCGTTATGACACATAAGCTGTTTAAACACAAAACTAAATACATCATACAATACATACATACATACATACATTAAGCGATCTGTTAAAACATATTAAGGCATTAATTTTTAATTTGAAACCCCTAAAACTTTAATTTAAATGGAGCGTGTACTTTTATATCCTATGCTATGATTTTGGAAATTATTGAAGCTGTAAAAGTTTAAAATTTGAATTGTAACTGACCAAATGTGCGGCGAGGCGGTGCCTGTGTCGCGCGAGTTCGAGCGAGAGCGAGCGCGCGGCGAGCGCGAGGCGGCGCGGCGTGGTGCGGTCGCGGCCGTCGCGCCCGTACAGCTCCGCCGCCTCCGCGCCCCGCGCCCCCGCGCCCCCGCTCGCCATGGACTCGCTCAGCGTGCGCTTCAGCAGAGACCCCGCAAATCTTCAAACCATATATTTTATAGCTAGTCAGTAGTTTTACAAATAGCTATCGACTATAATAGTTATTTGTTTAAAGAAAATTTGAGGTAAGTAAACGCAATTTGTAGAAAAAGTCAGTTGAACCAGCGGAGGAGAGGGCTCGGTGTTTCGTCATTTTTACCTTATCACAGCCAAATCCCGCGGATCCAGCTCTTTATTTTTGTTTTCCTCCGCTGTGTTATTGCAAATGGGGTCGTTTAACCAATGATTGAATTGTTCGTACACTTCCTCCAATTCTGACCTGCAATTAAAATTACTGATGTCAATTTACAATGAGTCAGACTTAAGGAGTGATTTTTTTTAACTAAGTTTAAACATTCACTTACGTATATTCTGTGCTAAAACTGTATTTTGAGCTATTCCCCGTTTCCTTCCTTTCAATCGGTCGCCGGCTTAAGGAAGTATTGCCGTTATCCAAGATCTCTTTGTCGGTCAGCACGAAACCGACGGAGCTGCCGCGTTTTACCCTGAACATGAGAAACCCTAAAGATAAATCATCTTTCTTAAGAATTGAGATAATGTCGGCCAAGATTACGGTAGTGCCTTTAATCAAACTGGATTCCACAACACTTTTATTTTGATTATTGTTGAACAAACTGCTTACCTTACTTCATTCCCATTGGTCCCCGCGCCGGGTAAGCTGACGCCTGGCTCGTAGCTGGAGCTGTCGGTGGACCAGTCGCCGGTGGTGCTGGTGGTGCAGGAGTTCTCCGCCTCTCTGCGCAGCGCCTCGCGCAGCCTCTCCGCGAAGCTCTGCCGCCTCTCCTCAGTCGACAGCTCCTTGTAGTACTTCAACGAGTTCGGACGTGCGCTTTCGCCTCTTCCTTCATCCTCGCTACCTACATTTTTGAATGTTGCTTTGTTTAAAGAAGTATTGAAAATAATTACATAATCTTTAAATATATAAACATCTAAATTGTCATGATACGGTAATGATTTTTACTAGAAATTACTCGTTTAATTTACCATAGTCGAAGCTGTCGTTTGCACTGTGATACTCGTCGTCGCTGGAGTTACAGCTGGAATACAGACTGTCTTCTTGAGTGTCCAGGTTGATGAGGCCGGGACTCCTGGTCACCGGCAGGCACTCTCCCGATGAGCCCAATACGATGAACCTTCCTCTTCGGTTGTTCAAAACGCCCCCATCAGGAGATAACCAGCATTTACGTTTCGTTAATTCTACGCCTGAAAAAAAAACGAGAGCTGAGAGCTGTTATATCCATGAGAATTTGTTTATAATTTTGTATGTACCTATCGCCATTTTGGTATATTGGGCTTCTAGTAAAATCGTGCTAAGTATATAAATGCGAAAGTTTGTAGCCTAAACGGCTGGACGTATTTCGATGAAATATGGTGTAGATGTAAAGGAAAGTCTGGAAGAAGACTTAGGCTACTCACTTATGTTTTTTTAATTCCACGCGAACGGAGTCGGGGGCGAATGCTAGTATTAAGATATTTAGTACCATATATTTTTCGAGCGATTAATTAATTAAGTTTGTAACTTGCTTGGATCGTTTAAATTAAGTGTGGCTGCGCAGTATGTCTGCGGAGAAGGGCTCCTGCTGCTGCAGCTGTTGACCGTGCTGCACGACGACTGCTTTATCATCACCGTCGCCTCCACCTCTGGTGGAGTGTTGCTGAATGATTCCCCTATTGGTAACAAGAAAAATAATCTTATTCCTAGTATAATAGGTACAAACATTGAAATAACTTAGTAAGTAAGTAGTAGTTAACTTACTAACTAAGTACTATACTTACTTAGTAGTAAATATAGTATTTAGCTAGTAAGTGCGAGGCGCACGCGACCGTGACTCATCCCCAATAACACTCGCCCTGAAGAAGGACCCCCGCAGGGTTTGCAACTGGTCGGTGCCGTCACCAAAATAGACGTGAGCAATAGCCGTAAAATAATTAGTTATTGAAGGTAGTTACTCTTTAAAAAGTTGATAAGTTCGTTTATGATTTATGACAAATTACAGTTGTTTACTACGTGAACACGAAAACCAAAATAATCCATTTAACAATATTGGCTTCATTACCCAATTCTTTTACAACTGTCGGATTAGTCATTACTTCCTGAGTTTAACGATCTTAGTGTTTATTGGATTACTTTCGTATGGTTATCGGGTCAAGGTTGTAAAAAAATACTACATTTTATACTCTTTTTTAGAGACAGGCGTGGCAGAAATAAGCAAGAAAAACTAATTAAGTATTTACTATAAAATATTTAGAATCAATACTTAATAATCTTTCGACCAACTTTACATTTTGATTTCTTGTTCCGTGGAATTAAGGAGATCACACCTAGCAGGCTGTAGCCAACATCACAACATCACACACAATCGACAATGTATGAAATACTAACCGATAGGTGACAGTCTCCTCTCTTGTCGTTGCTGACTGTCGCGACTCTTCATAGGCGCCTGCTGAAAGGCGAGCAGGCTCTTGTTCAGTTCCCGTAGCACGTTGTCTTCTTCCCACTGACCGAGAGGCAAAGCGCTGTAGTCTTCGGCGTCCATTAGACATACCGTTACCTATACAAGAAATCGAAACTTTAAATATAACAGTTTCTGAAAGTTGTGATAATTGTATGATAGGATGATTTTATAGACATTACTGTTTTAGGTTCGGACAGTAGTTCGATGTTAGGTTTTTGCCGCTTGTCGCTAATCCTGCTGAACAATCTGATTCCTTCCGCCTTCAACACCTCGTTGTCCTCCAGCGACTCCACCGACAGCATGACAGGTAGGAGCTCCGGCATCATGAACATTGTCAGCGATTCCTTAAAGATTAAAGTTATGGTCTAACTTTTCCCCAACGTAAGTCTTAACGCCGTTCTGGCTATTCTTGATTACCTGTGTATCTCCATCAATTAAGACATCACCACCGACTCTACTGCTAGCGAAACATATTCTAATGGCGTCATCGTTTTCGCATCGCTCCGGCCGCCCCTCATGCCTCACCAACAATTTGCATAACGGCAACGTACATTCTAACCAATCCTCTATTGTTAACCATTGCTTTGCTGTCATTACCTGCAATAGTAATATTGTATTAACTAAATAATATGTCCCAATTATCTTACATTTCGCGAAATTTTTAATAGCAGTTTACCTGTCTACTTAATTTAACGGTGCCTTCGTTGCTATTCTTGTCCAACCATTCAAAATAATGTAGTAAGCTTTTTAGTTTGTTTTTTTGTGATTTTCTGTAAGATTGAATAAACATCACGTTAAAAAAACTCCAAAGCCATGCAAGGGCGTCGCCAGCCGAAGATCTAGGCTAGGTTTAGTAGCATTATTTCTATTCTTTATCAAATTGTTATCAAGTGGTCCAGTTGTTTTTACGTAAAACCGACTATTAATTTTAAAGGTCTCTCTGTGGATTTGTGTTGTAAACCCCTAATACCGTACCGTACTTTTCAATTTAGGGATCCCTTAACCTAGCCTAGCCGCCTAGATCTTCCTGGCGACGCCCAGGTAGGGATGTAATAACCTTAGATATTTGTGAATTACCTGTGTAAATTCTTAAAAAAATGTGTAAAATTGAAGTCTTGTAAAGTCGGATGCGTTTTGAGCGTTCTTTTAGGGAAAGTCGAGAAAAATGCATGAGAAACAAGTGACGATAGAAAATTGTAATCCAGTTCCGTAACATCGCCTGAAAGATACATGTCCTGTCATATTACATACTTCTAAACAACTAATGAAGACTTCAAATACCGTTAAAATTGTACAAACTTTGTTGTTGTAAACTAAACATAAGTCCTTTAGGTGGGCGCCATCTTTTAAGGTGTAGTGCTCTGTTCACCATGATTCTAATTGTGTTATCGAGGAAATTTCTGCGTTCTTCTTCCGACAGCTCTTCTTCGAGGAATTGCTCTAAGCCTTTCATCAGATCTGGATCTTTGATGTCATCATCTGGATCTATACCTATACTGCAATCAATGTCAATACGTAAGGTTACAGTTAATTCTACATTTTAAATTTTCATTTCATCAAGTCCTTAAAGTAGTGACTCCATCCATCCCTAAGTTGATTAATACATATGGCTGGACATGGTAACAATAGACTCAGTTTGTACAGGTATATCGTGTATCGTAATATGTAATCCAATTATGTGGACTCAAGGCACTAACGCACTAACGGTGATTCTTTAGCGAGAATGGATAGACATACTATATACTATTACGATTGCATAGAACTGTGGTCGGCTTTGTAAGTAATGCGGGAAGATAATTAATGTCGTTATCACAAATACAGAACATTTGATTTTTAATTATTTGTATAATACCGACATTTACATAAGTAAAAAATTGTCTATTTGATACTTACTTGCACATGTCATGAATTTTCAACATACTAGCTGTGAGTTTAACGGGAGCTGATGCCAAGAGAAGATGTTTTAAATGTCGCTGTACAGAAGTCCACCAGGGGAGATCACACGGTAGCATTACGAGCGCCATTCTGCAAAAAAAATGAAAATATTGGCGTTTCTACCGTGGAGTTCAATTTTATCAAAGTATCATAAGTCTAGCAACATGTTAAAAATCTTTACACTTATAGCTAAATACATAATATAGTCTAATTTTTTAATGGCTGTTAGGGTTAAAATACCGTGAGAATGCATGAATTTTGCCAATTCAAAATAGAAAAAAATCATACAAAGAAATTCAAAATGTTACTAAAGGCGTTAGATATTTCATTTTGCAAAAACCGTCGAGTTATACTTTAGTAAACATTGTTTTCAGGCCGTGGAAAGCATTTTTATTCAAGGAAATCTTATCGAAATTACAGTATCATATAGAGCAAAGCTATAAAATTGATGACAAACTATAAAATTACGCAATATTATAATTCAACACATGACGCTTTAAGCTTACGAACGTAGCTCAATAATAGATTTGAACGCTGCCATTTACGCTACGTTTGACATCTGCCACTGCTTTAAACATCAAAACAAAAAATTCTGTCTATAGCACAAAAGCAAAAGTAAAAAGTTTTTGTTTTTATTGTAATATTTTATTGAGATAAGTGATTTAATATTTTTTGTTACATATGTCATATCCCACAACTGGTGTCAGTTGGATTGATCATTTCTATTTGCAACTAATATTTAACCTCCAAAAGATAAAAATTAACAACTTTATCAACTTCGCTGTGATAATGAATAACCGGCTATGTAAGTCTAATATTGGTGATAATTCAACACACACATCGAAGTCGCATGTATGCTATTTGATGTCGCACAGTTGAAATAAATGTGAAGTCTAAAGTGCATTCTGAGCAAAGGTCATTTTATATAAGCTTGCTGGCCTGTTGCTCGTTTAAAACAATGTCTGTAAAGGCTAAATTATTAAAAACTTTAATACTCGGTGCACCAGCATCCGGAAAGGGGACTATTTCATCCCGAATTGTGAAAAAATACAACATAGAGCATATATCAAGTGGTGATAAATTAAGGGATCACATAGAAAAACAAACTGAGCTTGGAAAAGAAGTTAAAAAGTATTTGAATGAAGGTAAATTAGTGCCAGATGATGTAATAATTAAATTTATGATTGCTGAATTAAAACAGAACAGTGATAAGCCATGGTTATTGGATGGTTTTCCAAGGACAGTTGCTCAAGCAAATGCTCTATGGAAAGTGCAACCTGTAGATGTAGTTTTAAATCTGGAAGTTCCATTTGAAGTAATAATAGAGAGGGTGAAGAATCGTTGGGTGCATTTGCCATCGGGCAGGGTTTATAATATAGGTTTTAATACACCAAAAGTGATGGGGAAGGATGATGTAACTGGTGAAGACTTAATTCAGCGGCCGGATGACAAACCAGAAGCTGTTCTGAAACGACTGGAAATATATAAAAGTGTGACGCAACCTGTTATCAATTTTTATAAAGATAAAGGTATATTAAAAAATTTTGAAGGCCGCACATCTGATGAAATATGGCCAAAGGTAACATCATATTTAGATCCAATATTTAAAAATTAATCTTAAGTAGTTAAGGATGTTATTGTTTTTAAAATAGATTTTATAGTGGTTGTATATTTTATAGTGCCTTTTTGATGTGTTATACTGAAAAAATTTTGAATAGATTTTGGTGTTAGATGTATATTATAATTGTAGAAAAGTAAGTATTAAATATGTCACAAATATTTTTAAGCTCAAATGAGACAATCGGACAGTGAAATAATGTCTTCCAAATACTGCATATTAACAGTTTACATTTCTAGTCAATTATCACTTTGGTATCTGTAACCCTTAACTTGGTAGTGTCCAGAGTGACAAACAACTAATTTAAAGAAATCTTGAACTAGTTGATTTCAAATTCAAAAATATGATATTATTAAAAAATCAGTTGATATTGTTGCAAAAAACTACATCTAATTAAGGGTAAAAAAATGTACTTGACAAGTCCTGGATTATGTACTTTATTTTTGCACTTGTATGAAAGAAAGTGTAACATTTTTGTTTGTTGTTGTAAAAATTTGATATTGGCAGTGCTTCAATTAAAATAAAAGTTACAAGAAAATAATATCAATGTGGTTTGTTATTAAAATAAAATATTACTCACTAGTCATTGAAATGCAATATTAGTTTATTGATGTTTTCATTACTGTTTGTCTTAATGTGTATTATAGTTATTGAGAAAAGAATTTTTTTATTTAAAAAATATTAAAATCGCAAATAATATATATGTATTCCTGTTAGTTATTGTGATGCAATGTTAACTTTTTTATATTTATTATAATATTATATATTACAATTATTTAAAATTACCATTGCATAATATAGCTTACAATTAGTGACACACTTTGTTAAACTAAGTTGAGAAATAGCGCCATCTTAGAAAAAGTAATCAAAATTCTTGTTCATACATGTTAATTTTAAGTAAATAAAGTTAGTAGCAGCTTTTCTATTAAGCTATTTTTGTCTGTACTTAACTTTTATGTTTAAACTGAATTAAAAATATTGAGACAGAATTCTTTTGAATTTAATTAATTTTAATTGTTCGCACAAATATCGCATAAATAAAATTTAATTTAAAGTTGTTGGACAAATGTCTTTATTTTCAATTTATAACAACTTTATATAATAATCTTGTAAAGTAAATGTCTATTTTTAAAAAGAATAATTTATGTATCTTTGATGGTTATATTACTTTATACATTAGTTTCAATACAAATAAATTAATTCATTTACAAAAAAAAAAATAATTACAAATGTTTTATAACGGACTATTCCCAACCGTCACCCAGCTCTGTTCCCACGTGAGGACAGTTGAGAATGAAAAGTTTCATCCGTCCCACCTTTTGCAATGATGGGTCGGTTGGAACTTATTTTATTTAATAAAGGTTCCATCTGTCACTTTATTGGTGATAGTGGGACTGGATCGTGAGACGGATGAAACTTTACTCTCACGTGGGGACAAAACGGGGAGGCGGTTGGGAATAATCCTTTATAACTAAGTAGATATAGTGAATTACTATTTTGTATCATGTGTTTTATGGATTTTGTAATGGGTAGTTTACATATATATATAATGGTAGAATGTTTGAATTTGACTTTCAATGAAAATAAAGTTGTTTTTTTTAAATCTGGTTGTTTAGTATTTTATCATGACCCTGTTCCGATGTATATTTCAGTTGTTTTGTCCGAGAAAATGTGAAATGGAGAATTCGTGGCGCCTTCGCAGAACCGTGTTTTGTTTTGATTTTGTCGGTCGAATGAAAGTTAATCGTTTGTGTAAGTTAATATCGTAATTTTCAGTAGTCCGATATTGCCGTTTTTTGTTAGATTTCCCTGTACAACTGTCCTAGAAAAATCCTAGATAATATGCCTCAAACAATTGAAGGTTCAGAAATGTCCTCGCCTATCCTTTTGCACTCTAACAAAAACAGTTATTCATAACATGACATTTGAGAATCATATTAATAATAAAACAGATAAACAGGCATATACATTCTTTTGTATGAGTGTTTCGTCAGTAAAAACATACATTAAGACTCAAGTCTGTTGATTAAAATTCGCATTGTTACAATTGCATTGTCTTGTTTATTTATAATACCGCCGCGGCGCGCTTGTACCTAAATTCTGCACCGAGTTGTGGCACGTGTTCCAGTCTTAAAGATTTAACCTATATCACCGTAGACATAATAGTCCAACATTTTTTAAGCCTACATAATTCTTTACACTTTACATAAAACTTTAGATTTATTTTTTTGTCTGAATTCAACATGACGTTACACACGCTAATAACATTACAAAGGAGTTCGATTCGTAGCTGGAGTTTAGTAAATTTTGTAGTTATAAGACTGTTAATAATAGGTTAATATATTTTTTCTTCCAAGAGGCAATTTAATAATCCAACAGTTGTACAATTCGGGACCGTATTAGCCTATAGTCGCCTTGACTTGCACTCGAATAACTGGGACACGGTCTGACGAGTTATTTGTATTCGTTACGTACAAACTACCGTCATGACGTACGTATAGATCTAACGTTAACGTTGAAATTATTTTTTAGAGGGGTTTCAATTAGTGACAAAAGATCCGTGCCAAATCCATTTGGTAAGGATTTTTTGACTATAAAGCCATAAAAAGGTTTTAGCGATTTAGTTTCTAATATTTTGTTTCTATTATTCATTAGTGAATTCGCTTTTTTAATGTTAGTATGTAGTTGATTGTGGTAAGATTTGCTTACCTCAAAAAGTTGCGTCGTAATTCCGTAGCACAATAAAGTTAGCTTATATTAAAACAACACAAGTTTCACATTCGCCTCGCGGCAGTCGGTTTCTTTTTACGCACTTTTCTCATTGTCCACACGAGAGTTGTCCACTTGATTTCACTCGCATGTAGAATATCTTATTGCTTTACAGACAGAAATAGTGTAACTAGTATGAAAATACGAGCCGGCGGCGGGCGACGGGAGCGCGCGAACCCCGTTTTTATTTTTAGCCGCTTTCGTGCATCGCCGCTGAAATTAGACTGTAAATAAAAATCTTGGGTTAACAGAAGTCGTAGGCCTCGTTAGTCCTGTCAATGAGCTAAATGTTTTTACAGGAATGTGATGGACAGTTACATGATAAAAAAATGTTTCACTTTAATAACCGTTCTCCGGCGATTGAATTTTCAGAATCATTGTTTACTGTTGTTTTCTATATAATACAACAATGTAAAAACATCATAGTAAGAATTAACACAATTATATGCGTTTTGTGATACTTTTATAGAAATAAATCAAGTATAGGTAACTTTTAATATCAAATAACAATTTAGGTCATGTTCTAATATAAATATGGATATGGTTTAATAAATAAAACGAAATGTTTCTGGATAAAAAGTTATACGTACATTCACAGTTCCACTGCTTGATATTTTTACATGTATTTGAATTCTGTTTAGTTAAATTACGCGATTTTAAGGTTATACGCGTAGTTAGCGTTGAACTGAGACAAGTGGCGACGGCGCCGGTTCAAAACGTACTGACGCCGACTTTCACCGGGGAGAGACCTCCCTGTAGCGCAACCTCACACCCCAGTGACGTCACTCGGTCGCGTCACGACCTACGACGCCGTACGCCGGCCGGGGCGCAACACCCCATCCCTTTACATCTTGTGAAATGTCGCCACTCGCTCGCCCGCTCCCTGAACATTACGTAAAATATAACATGTGAGTCGATAGCTTACGTCAGCAAAGACGTCATCACAATGATTTAGTTTTTTTTAAGCGATTAATAGAAATTAATGATCTAATTTTTGCGTCAATGGACCAAAGATCTTTTGCTTTCCAAACCACATCATCACCAATAAAATTAATAAAAAAATGCATGAGGACTAGACCGATGTTATTATTATAATACCAAGCACCCTTTTTCCTTGATTTTAGTCATTTAAGTACGTATCTGAAGTGTCCGATTTTAATATTTCATGATACCTACAATTACCAACTGTCGAAAAGTTTTGAAACAATCAAAACAATGGTTACTGTACTGATTGGTTGAGTTATTGGGTAACTATTGCGCATGCGTGTTTTTTGTACAGCTGACGCAAATGTTTAGAAGATATGCTGTGACTCCTCAGCATTCATATTCTCCTGGTACAAGAAACGCCCGTGGAAAATTGTTGCCGCCCTACGTAACGCATTTGGGCGGGCTAGGGCGGAGCGGACACTCCTATGATACCGGTATCTGTTTTATCTCGAGAGCTTTTCTATTGAAACAAATTTAAATCTACGTATAACTGACATGTAAAGTCATATTTTTGTTTATTCAGGAATGGCAGAGGGTTTCAAGGTTAATTGAGATTGCAAGATTTGTTATGCTTTAAAAGTATAACACGCTTTTATTGTGTAGAGTGTAGAGGTAAGTCATTCAAGTGTTCGTCTTTTATTATATGTAGCATTTTTAGGAAGAAAGTAGAAAGTTTTACAAATTAAATCCCTAAAGCTTACTCTTACTTAAAAAAATGCGGTAGACATAACCGTAGAAATGTCAATATTGCTCGTTGCAATAAATATGAGCTTTCGAGCAACGTAGGTATTGAACGATAAACGATTTGTAAACACTAGCTATGTAATTGATTCAGTAATTTCTAAATATATTAAATTGCGTATACCATGCGAAGAAATTTCTGTGTCGCCTAGCTATATTTCCTGTCTGAAGTTACATCGTGACCATTTGTTTAGATTGTTTTTTTTTTCGTTTGTACTAAAGGATTGCAGGATTCCTCTTAGCGTATCCAGTTTACATACTAAGGTTTTATGTTGCCTTAGTAAGATAGCCATGTAACGACGTTCCAACGCCGCCTCCTAACGATGTATGGGCGGAGAAAATTAGCGCCCAAATACTTGTAACCTCCCTCTTGTTAACAGATACCGCCGATGTTATTTCAATGCAGCCACGTTTCCACTGCTGAAAACTTGTATAAAAATGTTGTAATCCCTCTCTACATCCTTGAGAAAATATATTAAAACAGTGTCGTAATGTTACTTTTATCAAAAGAGTTTTTTTCTCGTTTGTCGCTTTTTATTACACTAACCTATTACAGAACAATTAATATCAATGCATTTATTTTTAAATCTTACATACTAATAGCATATAAAAACTATTAAATCTGATCTGATCCCAAATTAAATGGGATAAACCCTGCAATGATAATGATATGCAGAAACATCTGTATAGTTCTAAATAAGATGAAAAAGATCCATATCAGTAGACTAATCTTAGTCGTAAATAAAACAAACCCATTGTAGTTATCTTCTAATCTCTATTTATAGCTTCTGTCTGTGAAGGAATCTCTTAAAGGTCGTGGTTGATATATTCGATAGGGGTCGCAGCATCCTGTATTTTATGTTATCCTAGTACAATCGACCTCTAAGCCCGCCGAAGCTCCGTTATAACGTCCGTCCGACTGGGACTCACCCCTTGCAAAGGTCACCCTAAATGCCAAAGGGTAACAAATACATTACTCTCTAAAGTTAGTTGTTTTCGCATTAGACTTATGCACTACAAGTTTATTGATATGCTGACATTTTAGAAGTACTTTTGTGCTTTAGAACTATTAAAGTTAAAAGTAATTTCACTTGTCATTGAAACTAATGTTGAAATAACGTGTCTGATATATAGCAAAAGGCAACTATAAACAAACCTTAACAAGCATATCTTGGCACGCAACTAGATAGTAAGTTAAATAAAAACAAAGAACTACGAAATAAACCTTTATATAAATCATTCGGAAGTTCATGGAAAAATAACAATTAACACAGTTTTCGGTGTATTTTTTGAATAAATTAATATAACCGTTTACTCACTCACTACTTTGGTTACCTAATGTTAGTTTTTTTACGATACAATTATTAACATTAAGTATAGAATAGGCGACACGTGTTAACAAACAACCCTTGTGAATAACGCCGATTCACGTGACCCCTCTGTACCAGGTTGTTAGAAAAACGTGGAGCTTACGCAGGCAAATAAAAAGTGTTTACTTTTTTGGATATAAAATAGCTGATACTAATGATAAAGTTAATTTTGTGAAAAAAAAAAATTGAATGCTGAAACTAACTCTAAATGTCTCAATTTTTTGTCAAGATTTGTAGTGTACTTTTGTAACATATTTGTTAGTATCCGGGTAATTAGACAAACGTTTGAGTGTTCGCAATATTTTCTTAATATATTATTCATGTATATTTATAACAATCGCAAACTGCCTATTCGGTGTTTTTACCCCAATCGCTACGACATACTACCCTTCGAGCGTCGCTTAATAGTTGGGGTGAAACTATTGTCATCCCCTGTCTGTCATGCTCCCCTATTGAGTCCCACTAACTTGCGCGGGGCGTCGCGTTTGGCGCGATACTGGGTTGCAGCATTGCCTTACAACTTATGTTGCCTTGGGACTTTTGTAGCAAATCCGTTACGTCATCATTTAGCCTTTCGTAGCAAAGCGGTCTACGATCGCGCTACACGCTACGAGCTACGATTTTGTTAAACATAAAACCTTCTTTTAACGTTTGTTACTACGAAAGTTACCGCTTAAAGTGAAATTAATAATTTAATATCAATTTTTATATAGCAATATTTCTATACTTTTACAATTAGATAGGATTTTGATAAGGGCATAATTCTTAAAATTCTTACGAAAATTGCTCTTGTTAAGGCTAGTTTATTTAATAACAATTTATTACTATGTAAGGGGACATTCGTAAATAACGCAACACACGAACTTCGTCCGTTCCAATACCTAACCACCAAGCAAACATATTTATGTGGAGACACAAAACTAGAACTAATCCTAGATTGTACAAGCCAACAGACTTACAGTAATTATGTTTTCCGAGTACTTAGGGTACATAGAATCTTTGAGGGTTACAACTACAATATTGGCTACACTAGTATTGCGAATAAACCATTTTTCTTCTACGTTTAGGTACAAAGCAAAAGAAACATTATTCTTCCGTTTGTAATTATTTAAAACTAGCTTTCACCCGCGACTTCGTCCGCGTGGATTGAAAAAATAAACAAAAGTTAATAGCCTATGTGTTCTTCCAGACTATCCTCTACATCTATGCCAAATTTCATAGAAATCAGTTCAGCCGTTTAGGCTACAAACTCTAACAAACATCCATCCATCAATCCATCCATCTAAACTTTCACATTTACAATATTTAAACTATCACATTTATAATATTAGAAAGATAAATGTTTTTTCAGTTTTAATTTTCTTATTCTTCAGTAATATTAAAATTTACGGTCTCTTTAAAATTATACTTTTAATAACAACATAATTTAGTTATGTTCAAAAACTTATATGTACAGGAGCAGAAGATTTAACTTCTTAACATATGCAAACGACGTAGAAAATTCTATGACGATGTTATTTTCCAAACTAGGGCTACGCTTTACCCTGCTACGCCAATCTACGGTCATATCCTACGATTTCTGTGCCCTTAGTGCGAACAACCTCGGTTTAAGCCAGGCCTACGTCATACCCTCTGCTACGAACGATGACGTCAACGCGTTATCATTTCAACTCTTGTAGAATCTACTATATTGTATATCCCTTTTTAGGATTGGTTCAGAAAAAATCTACGACATAGTAAAAAACAAAGAAGCCGTTATGTCTAATATTGCTCAATTAGATTCATAGATATAAAAATTAGGGATATTATTACAATTTACGTATAATATTTTATTAAAGTTTATAAAATGCAGAGTCTGTCTCACTCCAACTACAAGTGTGGTGACTCGATCAATATGTACTTCGCTTTGACGTCATCGCATTGTGTCGATGCTGTGCTCGTTATTTGGAGGCTTCTGCTCTCCTAGCATCCAAGTATGCCAAGAAAAGCGCCGGCGGAAAATTTTCTTATGATCGGAATTTCTTAGAAGATGAAGAAATTCTTTAGACTGTAAAGAAAGAAGGAGCTTTGTTTTTTTTATTCACATTATTAAACCTATATAATGTGATAAAAATAAGTAACTAGTAACTATGAGTAAATGGCATTAAATTTCAGTTGTTAAGTAAAAGATTTACGAAATTAATATGTTAAATACCATTGTCCAAATTGAAGCAAGGCTCCTTCATAAACATCTAAATTTTGTTATCAAAGTTTCAATTGGAATAATTTTTTTTTATCGTTTTACCAAGGAGACAGTGTTAATGTTTATGAAGGAAGTATTGTCACATAACGAGAAAATTACCCACGGTGTGGCATTGCCAATTGAGGGAGCTCATTTCGTATCCCGCCCACGTGTTAAAAGTAGGGATCGTCCGCGTCGTTCGCGGATTAATCCATCTGCTATCTCTTGCGGCGTATAGTCGCCTGGTACACCCGGTTCACTTTATCCCGACTTTTTATCCCGATATCCGGGTTTAATCCAAATGGAAACGTTCATACTGATTTTATTAAGCTTAGCTTATACTCAGTGCTACGGTCAGAGTAGTTATTACTTCGAGAATCATAAATACTGTGATGATTTATCGCCGTACTTCGGTGAAATTGATTTGGACCAGATATCCGGAGTCTGGTACGGCGTTGAGAAGATTCCACATTCTAAGGGAGAGTATAAAATTGAACATACCAAGGAATGTTTTCATATTGACATAAGGGAAGTGCATATACAGGTTTGTAGTTGTTCTTTTATATTGTTTTCATATCATATTTCAATAGGATTGTATTTTTTTCTTTTCATTTATCGTTTTATAAACAATTTATTGTTAAAGTATTTAAACTAATTCAATTTCGTTGACCTTTCTCAATTTCTTCTGCAATAGTCATGTAACCTTCTTATCCGAATTTAACGAGCTCTTGTTTGTCTAGCAGGATATATGGCATGTTTCACAAGTAACTTTCACAGACCTCGACAGAGATTGGACTATCCCAAACCATTTAAACCTGTCGTTTTAGTGTTAAAACATTCAAATTTAATTATATCGTGTCGTTGACTAATGGAAAGATTTTAATCGAAAAAATTATAATAATATAAACAGTGTATCAATCATGTTATAATGAGGCGTAACCTAATTTTAATTTACAAGCATATTAACGTGTGACAAGCAATTTGCAGGATGTAAAGGTCGTTACAATTAGTGGGTCAAGAGATAGAGGAGCTATGATATAAGAGGCGGAGTTACAACCTTAATTAATATCACTCTGTCTTCTAACCACATGTACAGTAATTAGTAGGAGCACTTACGAAAATTACCTTCAATTATATACTTAAATGGAGTTCATTATCGTATCATTTGCTTTTCTCTTAACGACCGTGTGTTCGACAAATGTTAACTACTGCCCAGATTTAAAACCTACTCATGATTTTGATATAGATGCTCTGTTGGGAATGTGGTATTTACACGAGTACATATTCCATAAAGATAATAGAATTATAACGGAATACAATCCTTACTGTCCGATTATACAGTTAAGAAAGTTTGAAGATTACATACAGGGTGGTTTGATTAATCGTAACTTAGTAAGTATAGAGTTAAATTAAATCAGATCATTATTTCATTAAAATATTTGAATAACTTAATAATCAACTTGACTAATTTAATGCGATATCATCTTAAATTATACCACAGTTTACATTTTACAAAGTAAATTAACCCAACAAAAGACTGACGATTTTTTAAATTTAAAATTAATTATGATCTAAGATAGATTGATTAAATTATTCATCAATTAATGTAGTTTGTGCGTCATTTGTTATTGTTCTAAGATTGTTAAACACGATTTGCATAATTCATTCTCATATAATATTAGTATGCTTGTGTCGTTTTATTTACACGACATTCAAACAATAGTGACTTAACACCACCACAATGTTGTATGAAATCCCACAAGAAAACTCAGCTGTCTATTAATATAGCTGAGGTTAGACTTTATACAAAGTGTTTATTTAATAATGTTAACTATTGTATACGTTTATAGAAAATTAGACATTTAATTATAAATTAAAGTTAAATTTCGATTTATAATTTGAAGATAAATCCAAATGTTTGAATATTCTAACGAGTTTATCCATCGAATGTTACCTTTACCTACATTTCTACGTTTCCTTGTATATAATTTTTGGTATTTTATTTTCAGCCCACGCCGCCTACATCGTACCTCCCGTTGACAAATTCTCCATACGTGAGCCGCACGTACGGCCTGCCCGAGCAGTACCGCATCCGGCACTTCGTGCTTGAATGGAACGAGGGTCTCTGGAGAGATGAGTACCACATCAAGGTGAACACGTCGCATAAAGGTTTCTGGCCCACGGACGTGCCCAATAGATGTAAGTCGTCTTAGTCACGATTTATTGGACATTGCTCTACAGACCTTACCTTTTGATCAGATATCTTTCCTATTTATTTCGTTTTAAATGGAAGTTTAATTTGGTCTTACACTCGTTCATGCGCCATTGCGGTAAAAGTACGTTTAATTTATTATTTGTTTGTTAAAATTAGTTTTAATGTATTTGTTCCATTACGATTAAAATCTAAGTAATTAAATTTTCAAATAGTTTAAAAACCCAGTAGAAAACATGGAGACCTTAATCTTAATATTGCGTGTTTTTAACTTAACCTTCTAGTTAATAAAAACCCTACATGAACTATTTTATTTATAATATTAATTAGAATAACTTTGATTGCGAAATTATTATGTATTTGAAATATTTGAGAATATACATAGAATGTAACAGATGTCTAATATAATTAAGAAGAAGCCTTACGAATGAAATAAGACTGTAACTAAGCAGTACTCTTGTAAGCTTAAATCTAAGTAGAGCTAAACACCAACGCGAGGTGTCAGCAGTACCTTTTAATATATAATTTTTAACTGAATCCTTTTCAATTTATACTTATTATATAATTATTACTACAGATAACCTTTCATCGTTACTTAGACATCAAAAATGATTTTACAACATGTAAAGTAGGAAAATGCTAGTATGATTATTGAAAACTATGTCTAGCTGTTGCTCGCGACATCGCCTGCGTGAAATTAAGAAAGAAAGTAAAAATATAGCCTATGTTACTCAGTGATAACATAGCTTTTCAGTGGTGCAAGAATTTGAAATAGATCCAGTAGTTTTTGAAAATCCAAATATTTCCTCTTTATAATAATGGTATAAAAAAAGATAATTTGACGGATATTCTTTCTTCTTCCAGCGGTTGAGAAGATGTACCGGTTCTTTGGTGGAGTGATACAAGTGTTGAAAGTAGCAAAGACTCACTTGGTATTGAATTTCTGCATGCGTCTGCCGCACTCCCAGCTGTACAGCGTCGTGTTATCCAGAAACGAGAACCAGCTGACACCAGAAGACCTCGCCAGCATTCACAACATCTTCACACTCAAACATCTATCAACCTCCGCTTTGCAACGTGTCTGCGAAAACTCGGCTACAAATATTCAATTGACTGGAACTTTATTCGTCATAGTTGCGTTTTTATTAGCGAGATGTTGATGATTGTAGTTTTATTATGTAGCTTTTCATGTTCACCAAATGTAATCAGAGAGTAAATATCTTATATACAGTTCATGGTTTATTTTGAAATTATAACCCACACCCAGTATTCACAGACCGAGAATGAAAAAGGGTATACATTAATTGTAAATACTACTGATTTTTAGATATCTATTGAATTCTATTAAATAGTTCGCCAGTACTTCGTCTGGATTATTGGATATTAGCCATTTCTTAAAATTATTGATAACCTCATACTTGCGATGAACTAGAACGGTCTATAGTAGAATTTTCTGCACTAGAAATGCTAACTAAATGGCCACTAAGATCGAATTTGACGAAGTACGTAAATAATAGGTTATGGTATCCAACATGTTTTATATAAAAGAACTTTCTCGTTGGAATCTATTATGGAAAACTATTGAACTTGTCTAAGCTTCGGTTCTGTTATTTTTGTTTTAATTATCAGTCCCAGTATATACGCAATGTAACGGGCGTAATATACGCAATATATAGTACACGATTTACGCGTATCCTTTTAATTTAATAAAGCACCGTATTCTGAATCATCCGCTCAATGCATCGAAAACAACCTGCATTAATTTACTAATTGAAACCGATGAATCAACACAACTAGCATATTGTTTGCGCAGTTCCCAGAGACACCATGCGTGCGCTGGCGTTCTTTTTGGTAACTACGTTATACACTTACCCAGTTCAAGGTCTCTGCGGGGAGAGTATTCGTTGGTCGCATCGTTTTAACGTAGATGACGTGTTCGGGATATGGTACGGTGTGGGCTACGCACAACACACGCCAGACATGACCGACAAACCCAATGAAATAGGTTGCGTATCTCTGTACATTACCGATGCCACGTACCAGGTCCGCGATGATTGGGTCAACTGGGATGTAAGTACTGCTTAGAATTATAACACCTTCGACACGCGACTCATTAACCAGCTCGTTATCATGATTTCGTTTTTTAGCGCTATTATTTTGAAACATTTTCAAAATGGCGGCGTAACGTTAAGAGCTATTAAGCGCATGGTGTTAATCTGCTTAACTAAATTGTGTATAAGTTCATGGCCTTAATATTTGTAATAAAATACAACTTTTTATATCTTACAGTTTTAGTTACTTTAATCGGTCTAAGTCTCTTTTGTAAATCTCTAGGTTCCACCGAGAAACTATACTGACAAGAATTGGAGATCTGATAAAAGCAATCCTTGGTCAGGTGATGCTTTGGCTGGCTCTTGGCTCGATATAGGGTTAAAAAGACAGATAAAAAGAAGCATTAATATTCAACGTCGAGTTCGTGTGATGTGGGATGAAGATGGACAGACTATGGAGCAGATTTACATTTACTCGCCAGAAGATCCTGGCATTTGGATTGCTGAGAAATTGAGACCTTTTGAAAAAGAAATGCGAGACAGGGGAATAGGTAATGCTTGTGTTTTTTTACTTATACTACATTTGTTGAAGACGTAAGAGTTGTGTTGGCGCAGACATCAGTTGTATGTCTACTACTTAATGACCAGTCTTTTCTTGTTCAGATATATGGTACGCAGATAATCCGCCACGTCATCCTGAGGTAATCCGCGTGCTGAACGCCACTGCGCATACTCTTTTAATCAACCACTGTTCAGAAATCGGCAATGGCGGCATCTTCACTTTGATCCTAAGACGTTCGATATCCAAATTACAAAGATGGGATTGGTTTAAATACGAACAGGAGTTCTATAAATACGATTTACCTCGGATGTATCGACATGCTGCTGTTTGTGCCGGATGTATGAATTACAGTTCGATTGTGTTTTTGTTTGTTTGTCTGTCTTTATATGCGCTAATTCTTTCTTACAAATAGAATAATATATATGAAATTTGTATTGTGAAATTTAGATTAGATTTGATAAAACTAACTGATATATATGTATTTTTTATCGTAATTTATTAAAACATGTATTATTTACTTCATGAATAATTAGTTTGTAGTGAATAAAGTATATTTCATAACTGTTTTAATTAATATTCCCCTTATTTAGTAAAAGCACTTCAAAGTGTATATAATGTATCATTTTATATCACTTTCTTAGCATAAAGTTACTAAGATTATCTAAAAATCGTCATTTTAAAGTTTAGTGTCTGAAAGTTGACCTGTGGCGTGTTAAAAAAAGATGGAAAGTAAAAGAAATTATTTGAGTCACGTTAGTTTACTCAAAACTTATAGCATACAATTGGTGCTACGATAAACAGTGGCCAATCATGAACGCTGCCCGTTTGAAATGGCCGTGGCAAATGTAAAGACTGCAAATTGTATATCAAATGATTTCCAAATGACGTCATAAAACAGTTGTTTTTTTTTGTTTCCCGCGAAGTCACTGTCCATAGATAAATTATAATAGTACAAGTTTTAATATCCTCTTTTAGGTATTAACTGGATGCGAAGTACCTACATCTTGTTTTCTACGCTAATTGTTGTTGAGGATGCTGTGAACAAGTGCCCTCTGATCTCCGACCATTTGGTTAAAAGCGAGGTCGTATTATAACGATAAGTAGGAAGTCCTTTCGCAAGCAAATTACACCAATTAGATCTCAGAAGTAGACCAAAGTTGTTAATTAATTTTGTGAATTAAATACTCCTGTGTGTCTTGGATAAAATTTGACAAAAAAAAGCTAAGCAATGCTAGTCTTCAATACAAATTTAGATAACTTTGATGAAGGATTGTTTTGAATTTCTTGACTCGACATTCTATGTATTAATGTTCATTACAAATGGAGGTCAATGAGCAGTATTGTATGATAAATAAAATTCAACAAGAATGAGCCATCAATTGAAATTTAGATACAATCGGTTTAATGCATTGATATTAAAAAAAAAAAACAGACAGAAGATTTTCTTATTGACGAGTTATATGAGATCTATTACGCTCATTAATACAATGAAGATATTCTCCATTGGGCGATATCAAGGCCAAATCGATATGCACAACTATTAAATATGCAAACAATACTTTATAACATCGATTACAAATGTCAGACGAGTCATACATAGCAAGACAAACGACTTACAGCCTTTGACTCCGGATCAGACAGATAACAATTAGGCCTAATTAGTTTACATCCCACTCCCATACAGACCGCAGCAGTCGCACTTCACTGCTCGCCTCATAACTAACACGCGACATCTCATAGACAACATTACGAAAATACGAAGAAATGTATCAAATAGCCGGTGTTTTGATAGCTTTATCTACGGTCGCGGATTGTGCAAATTATCAAAGATATGATACAACCAGACAACCAAGTTATACAACAATTGCTAACTTATACAATCAATATCCGTATAAGACTGGCAGTGATATAGCAACATTTCCAGATACGAACAGATATCCTAATTATAATTCAGGATATACGACTCCTAGATATAACAGTTATAATACAGGATCCAACGTCTTCCTACCAGGGTACACTACCCCGCAGTATAACAGCTACGGACAAGGGTTCACATCATACGAAGCACCATTTATGAAGAATATCAGAGACTACTGCGTGAACAGATCACCCCAGACTGGGATCTGGGTGGATAGTTTGACTGGGATGTGGTACGGCGTGGAGTTCGTCCAGCATTTAGCCGGGGATTCCAGAGTGGACTACACCAGAACATGCATCGTGATTCACATATCAGAGCCGCATGATCGGGTAAGTTTTTTTTTATCTATAAACGGGTATTTTTGCATGTAGTCATCATAAAACATAAACAGTTATCGATTACATATTTACATTTAAACAATATCTTTACGGTATTATGTTTATTGTTCTATTTGTTATGATGATTTGTTGTCATTAGTCTTTTTAGTGTTTTCATGATCGCAAAAAATTAAAATGCAATTTACAATTACATACACGTATCTTCAAATCCTTCCAAAATGAAATCACCAGGAAATTTCGCGTCTACAATTAAGAAAACTGCTTTGTCTCTACTTTCAACAAACCTATTAGTTACTCCTGCAATCATGAGACATTTCTTATTAATACCGATATTTTAATTTGATATCGTGTAACTAGTTATGCTTTTGTTTGTTTATAAGTGATTAGCTAGGAGGATAACATTAATGCGTTTACAGACGATAACATTTCGAAGAAACATCTTATCACAGACTCCTGTACAATTCTATAGTTTGGTGCATACTTTATTGTTAACAATAATAAGCGTGTACTTAAAATAACATTGTAAATATGTGGTCACCATCTCTCTGGCGAGGCTGCTCGCGAGCGTAGCCACAATGACAATTAGTGATCTTCATTCACTACTTGATCATTGCGACAATACTGGCACACTTTATTTCCACAGAGCTAGGAATGTTTACAGCTTCCATTATAATATATTTTAATTGAGCTTTGAAAATATTATTAACGTACATATATGTATAATTTAAAATATGAAGAGAGTTGTGTCCCTAGACTTTATTATTATATTTATGTATGCAACAGAAAAATCATCAACAAGAACAAAAATAGAGTTTAAAATTTCTCATATAACCATAAATAGTGATATAAATGTGGATATTCGTATATTAACGATGACACAACCATGTGAATTTTTAGGAAATATCAGTGGGAACTCTAGTGCTACGTAAGTCAGGGGTCAAATGTGATAACATCGTTTCTCGGGTGACTAAGGACCGCGCCGCATCCAATCGTCTGTCAGTCCGTAGCAATCGGTTATACGCTGCCAGTTTTCGCGGGCGTAGCGTTCGAAAATCGAATTCGCTTTTAACAATTAACTGTAAAGTTCCATATTTAAAAGTAAAAAGTGACGTTTGTTTTTTTTAAATGGAATCATTTAGGCGTGGCACAATGTTTTTACCGTGGTTCCTTCTTTTGTTTTTGAAGTCATCAGCTGTAGAAGTTTCTAATTCAACAAGCAATACCACAGTTAATTGTCAAAGAGAACATGAATACGACGATTTGGACCCCAGAACGGTTATGGGGAAATGGAAAGTAGCTGAGCTTTATATGCATTTGAGCAAAGAAGGAGTAAAAACATATAAAAGTTGCCCGATGATCACTATTTGGGAAACGGATGATTTTCCCAGATCTACGTATGGGGTAGGTAGCTTAATTATAAGCCGTTCATATATATCGTTATAGTTACATGTTAAATTTTAAGCCATTGGCTTTTTTTTAAATTACATATCTACGAAAATTTTAGTATATTGTAACAATGAAAAAAAAATTAGTGTTTATTTTTACAATTGCTTAACGTAAAGAAAGTTCTAATTCTATAAGTTACTTTTATTATTGACAAGCTCATATTAGCTATATAATATTTGATTGTTGAACTAGATAGTAACTGTGTGTACTTAATAGAAATCAGCAACAAATTGATAGCATTATTTAAAAAGACCCATCAGGAATATTGTAGGATTGCCTCAATTGATTGTATTTAGCCTTGTGTTGCTATTCTACATACGTGCGTAACTATACGATACATTTATTTTTAATGGACAGATATGTGCAGTGTGTTTTACTTTGATATTTTTTTAGAAATTCACAATAAAAATACAATTTTTAATAATCTTTATCAAATTGACGAGTTGTTTTCAAGAACTTCACGTAAAATATGCTAAACTCTGTTGCTTTTCCTTGCTACCTTTTATTTGAATGTTTATTAAAGCACATTTCCTTTGTCATAAATGATCTATTCAAGTAAAGAAAGTGCTCCAAACAAATTCGAATCAAAAATATCAACAAACATTGTAAACAAAAGAAATTATTGTTTACACGGCGTTAATGTCATACTAGCTTACGCGCGCGATTCTTTCCGCGTAGGATTAAAATAAAACAAAAGTTATTAGCCTGTGTTCTTCGAAATCCGTTCAGCTGTTTAGGCAACAAACTGTAACAGAAATCTATCCATCCATCTAAACTAACATTTATAATATTAAATAATACGGAATATGTTTTAAAATGGTTCAGTAAGCAATCTGAATACTAACAAAAAGTTATTCCACAACTGTTACATGATTCTTTATCAGTTATAAATAAATTATTGTACAAAATAATAATTTAATTTCCAATCAATGCAGCTGGAGTGTGGGAAGTGGTTATCATGGTGGGAGCTCCAATCATTGCATTATCCGGACCTAACATCCTTTACTCGCAAATCCCCGTTTCCTCCGCATCGTGTGCCAATGTTTAAACTGTTTATTGGGGGATTAACTGGCGCACTTGTTAAGTCTCTAAAGAAGGCCTTTACTAAATTAAAAATCTATAACTATGATCTCCATTTACTGGCACTAACCTCAAAGTCCTTAGCATGAATTTCTGGTACAAATCTGAAACCGCTCCCTTAGTAATCAATTAACGATGAAACAAGGTAAGATCTTCTTTATCTTAATACCTTCTTCATATATTTTACTATCTTTTTAATAATTGGGAGTGACCTGAATGCCTCATGCGTATTGCCCACGCACCTCTAAAGTTGAGTCATGGGTGACATTGATGAGGTCAATCTACCTGACCCATTTAATCTACAGTGATCCAATGTTCTGGAATGAACTTTAGGCCTATGAGAATTTTTTCTTGATTTCTCATAAGATTTAAACAAGTAAAAAGTGTTATTCACTCAATTTAAATTGAATGACTGTTTTATCATTTGTTTATCATCTCTGTATTTACTTTTTGATCTCTTTCTAAATATTTCTAATTTTGTCTCTTTCTTTCTAGCCGTCAACTGAGAACCAGTTGTACCACGTGCAGCACATCAACGCAAAATTCCGCCAGGAGTTCCGACATCTGCGCCTGCTCTGGGACGAGGCGGGCGAGACCATAGAGTACGCGCTCTACTTCAGAAACGATTCCGCGGGATATTGGCAAGCTGTCGTTGGTCAAAACGGTATGTACTTTTTTTAACACATTTAAGTTTAACAGAATTAAATTCAGTTACCATTTAAATAAATAATATTGTAGGTAATATTTCTATTTTTATGCATTTATGTTTGTTGAAAATAGGTGTTGTCATAAAAAATGTTAGAATTTTCGAATTAAATTTAATTACCAATTGTTTTTTTTTTTCTTACTTTCAGGTACAATAACAAATCGTTCCACCTACCAGCAGTTCAGTGGTTCCGTGCAAGTTCTTAAGGCTGTCAATGACCATTTACTTTTGAGCTTCTGTCAAGAAGGAACGGCTACTGCCCCAGCACAACTATACTCTGTTCTCTTCTCTCGAAACCCGGGCACTATGCCGCGCTGGGAGATCGACTCTGTACATACTTTGTTACAGAATAAAAAACTCTCTGTAGCTTCTAGAAGAATGGTCTGTGGTAATAGCGCTGATAAACCATACGGTATGGTCATTTCGATCTTAACATGCTTATTGGCGTATGCGATTAGCACGTCATAGAATCTTTTTTAAACAAACATCAAATGCATTTTCAAAATCATAATAAAAATTCTATCTTTTACACATTGTATCTTTATAAAGTTTCAGTATTTTCTAAGAATTTTTTAAATGGATAGGAATTTCTCTTTCTTGCGAAATCAAAACAGTTGCATCAAGTGCCAGGAATGCATTTTAACATCCGTCCTATGAAAATGGAAATTAATTAGGTTATGACTAGTATTGGTAATGTTGGAAAATACTTAATATCAAACACTAATAATTAACTAAGAAAATTAAATCCGAGTTATTGTGTTCATTCAATAAATAAGATCTGAAAACAACCTCTTGAAATCTCGCATAATTTTCAGTATTGTATAAAAACAGTTTAATAAATAAGTGTAACTAAGTATTTACTTAGTCTTCTTTAATTTATATAATTGTACGAAAGACTAATATTTTTTAAGATAAAATGGTAAATGTAATGCTATTATTAACTTATTTTAAACATTTATATTTGATATATAATTTATGAATTATATTAAATTATTTAATTAAATATTTTTGTTTTTGTTAAGATAATCAAGTATTTTTCCTAAAACAGAGTTTGAAGAGCGTTGTGTCACAAGATACGGCGTGAAAAGTTAAAGTTATGTGTAAAGTTACAGGGGTAAAGTTATCGGGTTAAAGGTTGTTCAAATTCATAAAGGAACAAGTAGTAATTATTTATCTTACGTGGAATATTTTATTTAGGACGATAAAAGTATTAACTAAGTTTAAACTTGCTTAAAAAGACTTTATTGTTTTATTTGCAGACAGCTAAAACAGTGTTGGTACTATTTTCGTGCACTATGTTAAAAGGTAAATGTCAGGGATCAGCGATGACGTCACAGGGTGGGGTGACGTAGGGGGACGGGCGGCGCTATGTTATAGCAGACCCTTTTATACAACATATCCTTTGTTTTGTAATTATCTTTAAAACTATAGATAACTTTCTATAATTGGAATATTTAAGTTGCTTTATTTTTTAACAATTATGTTTTTCTATTGAGTACAACAATTCTTTTATAACTTATGACGAAAAGTAATAATAACAAATGTAAACATTTGTTAATTACATTACTTTAAAACATATTATTTATAATAATTACATAATAGTTCTTATTTGCAGTCCCCGGCCAATAACTTAACAATTTCATGGGGATTAGAAAAAATGAAATTATTATCATGATCGAAGGTGAGTCCAAATATATTTCTTATTTCTGCAATCTTCTCCAGCGTGTAATCTTCTGTATTGATGACATAGATGCCGTGTTGTCCGCAAAAGTACACCTCTCCTTGATTGTCAACTTCAATACATCTAAAGTTATTTATACCTTTTATAAATATACGATCACTTGTACCATTTTTTATCATATAAAGACCGGTACGATTAGTTATGTAACTATTTTCATTGCCATCTATAGCGTATTGATAAATTTTCTCATGTATATGCTTTTGACGGATCGCTTTTACCCCCGATTCTTCATGTTCACATTTATATAACCTCTGCTGTGGATAATTGATAAAATGAAGTTTCTCTTTAATAAACATATCCCAAATATTAAAACCATCAATAATCTTTCGAGTTCCGTTTTCTTTTTTAATCGATTCCTCGTAAATACCGAGACTGCCTCCGAAGTATATTCTATCGTTTGTATTATCAATTGCTATGGCGAAACCGTTTTCAATGTTTTCTTTTACTTTGTGTTCCGTTTTTCCTTTTTCTATATAAGCAATATTAAAACAATCTTCTTCCTCTTTTCCTATATTGTAACTGAAATAGATTCTATGCCTGTGTTTGTCGTAGGACAGTTGATATGGACGATCGAGGTTCTTAGATAATATCTCCTTTCTATGAAATTTATTATTAAGATATAAGCCATCACATTTTTCACTATTCACCACACTTAATGTAACATATACTATGAAACACACTATGATTATTTTCATTTTAATTAAAAATATTAAAATTACACGGTTGTTTTTCCACACCACAAGCTAGATAAGTAATCGCAAGTGATCTGGCTCATCATTGCCTTGTATTTGATATTATTCATTCAATATGGATGTAATTTAATAGGGATCGATTCTGTGGGCGTATGTCTCTAACCAGATATGCAAATGTTAATTAAAATATAGCTTACTAGCTTTCGCTCGCGATTCCATCCGCGTGGAGTTTAAAAAGACCAAAAGTTATTAGCCTATGTGTTCTTAGAGATAATCCTCTACGTCTATGCCGAATTTCATCGAGATCTGTTCAGCCGTTTAGGCTTCAAACTCTAACAAACATCAGTCCATCAATCTAAACTATCTTATTTGTACTGTTAGTAAGTTATTTATGATTATAGTATATTGTCTAACAACAAAATACTTCTTATAATCATACATTTTAACATTTATAAATGTTAAAATTGATTACAAATGATTTGAAAACGTTTTTAAAAAATGGAAAGTTACTTACCTCTTTCGCTTGTTAACGCTACAGAAGTTTCAATAACCTGAACCCGTTTTCCCCCGACATCAAGGCAAAACGTACCAGGACATAAGGAGTCAGTAGAGATACATCAACGGGAGAAAAAGGATAGACTGGATGATCTGTCTCGCTCGCCAGCTACGAGGGTGGTGCACCGATTTCAACCCCATCCCCTATCAAATCCTCCCTGCACAAGTAGGCTAGAGCAGGACGGTGGAATATACGTCATCAACATGGGACATAAATCAATATTCCTGTACTTCAATACTGTTTGGTTGCAATATTTATAGAACTCAAACGCCTCTCCAAATAGGTGTCAACAAACAAATATAACATTTCTGGATATTGCCAGTTCTTTTGGTTATACAAAATGTAACAATTTGTTTAATTAGTTAATATAGCTTAATGCTATATCTAATTTTGATATACACTAGCATGTTACCCAGTATTTTCCAAATCTGAAACAAGGAACTATTATGAAAACTTCCTTGGTTGAAAAAAATTCTTTAAAAATCCGAAAGTAATAAACATTATTTATAAGTATTAAGGCTTGTCATTTTTTCAGTTATTTCCTGCTTGCTCATAATAGAAAATAATTGACAAAATCTTGATGAAGGTTAAAATTAAGATAGGCAAACGATCTTGTATTTAAGGGGCAAACCGTATTTCGATGTCGTGGGATCGGCCGCAGAGGTCGTTTCCACTAGGAGAGCATATGTAACAGGAGGTGTTTGCAGGAAGGGGTCATACTGTTGGACACCGAAATGCTCCCACAGGGGGTCGGGAGCGATCGACCGCTGCCCTTTTATGCACCCCTAGTACTTTGTACGGAATGTGAAATATTTTTGCTATTCGAAAATATCAGGAACGTTGGAAATAAATAAAATGTTTTATTATTAAAAACTTAATTTATTAACTTAACATTTTGAGTTACAACCTTTTAAACTTAATATTAATTTAAGTTAAAATCACTTGAATTTATCTAAATTAGTTATAATTAGACTTCACAAGCGCCTGTAGACGATACTGTGACGGTTCCTCTAACATACGTGACACCATCTTTGCAGTCACAAGCATCCTGGAAAGTTAAAAGTTCTTATGTTAAGACGTAGATAAACTTTTTAAAATACAAACGGTGTCAAGATTGAGTCTAAGACTTCTAAACATTCTTCATCGAAATAGTTTTTTGTTGTGATACTCAATCATTTTTATAATACGTCATTGTTACGTTTATTAAAATACATATTCATCCAATTACAAAGAGAAGCCTTAATTTTTCCTGGTAAAATAACTCGATTATTTTTAGAGTATTTTTACATAATTTATATGCCGATGTCACGCCGTATGTCTATCAGTAATAATCTTACTAATACTAATGTTATAAATGCGAAAGTTTAGATAGATGGATGGATGGATGGATGTGTGTTATAGTTTGTAGCCTAAACGGCTGTACGGATCTCTATGAAATTTGGTATATGTAGGGGATAGTCTTGAAGAACACATAGGCTACTCACTTTTGTTTTTTTTACTTCCACGCGGACGGAGTCGCGGGTGAAAGTTAGTAATATATATACTTACAAAAATATCTTCACGTGATGAGCAAGCCGGGTTTTGTTCGTAGAAGTGTACTTTTTGTAAATTATGCTTTATTATTTCATCAGACGTTCTTCTGTCGTCTTCAGTGTTCACTTTCGCCACCAGGCCTTTGTGGTTTCTCTTTACTATCAAGTTGTCTGAATTTACATTCGCCATTACAACAGGGCTGCCAAAAATGGCATTGTCTAAATATACGCAGTAACTATTCTGTCTGTCTATTTTATCACAATCAAGATTTTTATTAACCTTAATATTAATAGCGGAATTGCCATTTTTTAATTCTTTACCTTGTGTATTATTATCGTTTTCATCGTTTCCTAAATAGTTTTGATATAATTCATCATTTGCTCTGTTACTTTTGCGTTTACGTAATCTTCGTATTTTTATATAGGCGTTAGTTAGATATTGGAATTTAAGAAAATATGTCGTGACTTCTTTTGCGCTTGCCCAACCACTCTTTTTCTGTTTTATGTGTTTTAAACAGAATTGTCGAGGATACGAAGTACCGTATCCTGATAACGCGTAACCTGAAAAATGTTGCTTTAAATGATTTCGTTTTTTATTTTGTCGTTTCATTACAAAATGTGAGTAACTTACCGTTTTTAACAGAACATGAGCAGGGTGAGATGAGCGGGGAGTTTTCCTGCGTACGCGTGTAGGGGGCGCTGCGTGTGCAGTAGTTGCTGTGCCAAGTGCTGTCTGTGTGCACAGAGTCTCCCAGTGATTCTACTTCTATCCACTTGGAAGACTCCCTCAGCGAGAAGAAAGTTAGTGTCACTATAGCCTGAAATATTGTTGCTTTGATAAATAAAACAAAATCCTTTTCAAGAAAAAATGACAGCAACAAACCTCTAGTTAATTTACTGTGAACCAGTGCCTTGACTCTATTTTTTTTCGTAATAGCCATTGAAGAAATTAAGGTGCAAAAATTCGTAGAACAACTCCTGGATGCTTCTAATGTGAAGCTTTTCTACAGCTTAAGTGCTACAGATCTGTTGTTAGCAAACTAAAGATCTGTCTATTTTAAATATTTAGTTATTAATATTTTTACCATAACAAAGCAGGCGGCGGCGCACAGAGTGGCGCAGAGTGGGAAGCCGTAGCGCTGCGCGAGCGCGCCGCCCAGCGCGGGGCCCAGCACCTCGCCCAGCGAGTAGCAGCACGACCACACGCCCGCCACCGCGCTGTACGTCGCCAGCGCCTCCGGGCACCCGCCCTCGAAACTAACAACATAAATCCACATCCAATTTTCAACCTGAAACACCTTTAAAAACGTAACCGTGCTCAAAAAAACGGAGACGACGGTTCTGTTCGGGTTCTTTTTGCTAGTTTTATCTTAATGTTTGATATTACGGTGTATCAGAACTGATATAATAAGCAAAAAGGGACATTATATTTACATAGAACTTGTGAGCACTCCTTGGAATGTCGGCAGCAGTGTTAACGCCACAGATATGCCCAGTATGGAAAGCGCTACAAGATCGAGCCACAGGTCACTGAAACAAATAAATATTATTCAAAAACAATATTCACTAGCCTGCAATTTTTTTTTGTATAATCCTCAGCATTGATACAGAACTCCTTATTGTTGTGAAAGAGATAGACAAAGTATGAAATGAACTCACCGAGATAAGCCTGGTATAAACGGACAAGGGCCAAGGAGTAACAGTCCGATTGTCGACAGAAATAGGCCCCATACCATCATACACCAGTGGTTATGCACTCTAAAAAATTACACATATTAGAAAATAGAAAATCATAACTGAGAATTTAATCTCTCTATTTTTCTTACCTGTCAGCCACCCAGCCCCATATTGGACTAAAGATTCCATAAAGACTGGAGAATAATAAAAATATCAAGCCTATTTGTTCAGTGGAGAGACCGAACTGTCGTAAATGTGGCTCCAACGTCGGGTCTAGGAACGCCCACGTGTTGGACACGATGACGATAACCAGACCAGTTATTATGATTGAGGGTATTTTGAACAATCGTATTATAGACGCTGTTTTAGAGCCGGATACATATTCTGAAAGAATCAAGTAAAAACAATTACAGGATCTTTAAACTTTAATGATGACTTAATAAAGGAATTATTTTGGTTTACCTTCACAATCGGAGAGGAGAAAAAAGTTAATTGGTACGGTCAGCACCATCACTACTCCAAGACTGTAGAATGGAACACCGAATCCCCCGATCTACCTGAAACATATCTGATATAACTATACTTATTTAACTAGGCAATTTTTAAAACCAAACATCATCACTGTGAGTAGAGTGCCTAGGACCCAAGTAATCCGAGTTACGAATTAGTCCATACCGAATAAAGAAGTCCACCGATAGCCGGGCCGACAGACATTCCGAGACCGACAAACGTCTCGAGAATCCCGAGCACGGTTCCGATGCTGTCAGGGAAGGCGTTGACGACGAACACATAGCTGGCCGTAGAATACGCGCTCGCTCCCAGCGCCTCCATACCTCGCACCACGAAGCACAAAATCGTAAATGTTGAAGAATCCTGCACCATTACTAGAGTCCTGGAATGTTAGATGACTTTGAATCTCAATCTCTTAGAAAGTTTAGATGGATGGATGTTTATTAGAGTTTGTAATTTAAACAACTGAAGGGATCTTGATGAAATTTGGCATAGATGTAGATAATAGTCTCTAAGAACATATAGGCTAACTTTTGTTCTTCTTATCCACGCGTACGGAGTCGCGGGCGAAAGTTAGTAATTCGTTTTTTTTTTATTTATTACATTTAAAATTCAGCAAAAATCCAAACATCTTATGTAAACTACAAAACCGTCCATTCCATTTTTAAGTAATAATTTAGATCGCATTCTTGACATATTTTATTTAAGTGCAAGGTTAGCATGGCCGTGGTCATAACATGATTAAGTCGGAGACGCCGCCGAGGTGTCATAAGCTATAGTAAAGGGGTAGGTGAGCGGCGTGCGTTTGGCGTGCCAGTACCGCAATCTAATCTACTTATGATACACGCACAGATTGTGTTACACTCAACCCAAGCCTTGCATTTAAAATAGTTTGTGGTCGCCCTACATTAATCACATTTCAAAGTATACTTAGATATTATACTAACAGCCCCACTCCTTTAATGATCACTACAGAAGACTCTGAGAGCGGTAATATGTACATGTTATGAAACTCGTTAAAATTTAAAAGCATAAAAAAATTCAAAGTTACTTTTAATAAATATAATTTGCTTACCCAAATAACACGTTGCAAGCGCCGGCGACAAACATTCCCGCGATGAACATAAACTTAGCACCCATTGCTGGCAACTGAAAAGAGATTTAATTGTGTTAATTATTTCATGGTAGGAAAAAAACATTTATACTCAAGTGACTGTTATTTTTCAAACATGAGCAATAAGTTGTTGATGCATTGGTAGACTTGGCGCAAAACAAAAGAGTGATCTATCTAATATTATAAATGCTAAAGTTGAGATGGATGGATTTATGGATGTTCGTTAGTTTGTAGCCTAAACGGCTGAATGGATTTCGATGAAATTAGATAGGTGTAGAGAATGTTCTGGAAGAACTCATAGGCTACTTTTGTTTATTTATTTATTAAACACTTTTGTCTATTTAATTCCAAACGAACGGAGTCGCGCAAAACCTAGTGTAGAATAAAAAAGAATAAAACAGGTGAAAGAAGATATAACTAATATGTTTCTGACTTATCAAACTTTTTCAATGAATAAGTTATACGACACCGATAACGTTCAAATTTATAGTCACAACATGACTAATCTGAGAATGTAAACACAAGAATGAATGTATTTTTGGAATATTCCAGTACAACGACAATGAGCAGATAGAGCCACGATACACTTTAGCCCTTTGGACTAAAAATAATAATAATTCATGACCAACGCCAAGATTAATATAGTAATATACATATTACACTTCTGTAGTACATAGCTTATAACTATTAAAGGCATCTGTAGATCTATTGGTTATTTAAGTATAGTTTACATTTTCGAATCATTAATGTAGGTGGGTACAGTTTAAAACTAATCGTTATCTTTGTTCTCAAATAGAATAAGTGCATTTCTTTGAGTATTTTTAAAGTGAAAATCATTTTGTAAATACTATTTCAGTCCGCTGCGTGACGTCATACTGAGTGCACGCGTTTTTTGTTTCACTCCAGTGTGTATTGTAAACAAGTGCAACATTATATCGAGCCGGCCGCGCGGCCGCTCG